AACAAAATAAAATATAAAATCTGTACATTTTCACTGGTGATTGCACTGATAAATATTGATTTCAATCAACCATCATCCCGATTTTAAATTTAGATTTTTTGTCTTCTACCTTTTCACTAGCGCCATCTGTGGAGTTATCCCCTATCAGATTTGAGAGTTTAATTGAAAAGGATTGTGGGAGAGAAATTATGTCTAAACATTTTCAAAAATGCAATGGTTTATGGGTTCTTCTCTAGGCATTTTTCAAGTTGTAACAAAAAGTATCATGGGGATACCATCATTATTAATGAAGAGTATCTATCTAAATATGTAGACTATCTTAGTTGAAAGTATATAATCAAAACCTTTGCCAGATCTGAAGTAAACACATTTATAAATGAACACTTCTTTTTAGTTTCACTTTTCGACATCCCATTTACATCCATATTGTTAGTGGTTAGAGCTTCTAAATATGAATATCTCCCGTTGTTAATACAGTGAAACATGTCTCAGTAAACACCCCTTTCTAGTGAACACCTGTCTCTAGTAGATACCCTTCCTAATCACATACTCTACTAACTGTACTAACTACACTCTCTGTAGTGAACACCTACCAACAATGAACATTTTATTCAGCAAAAATGTATAATACATACAGTTTTACTGTACTTACAGCCTGTCTAATCTTTACTCACTTTAGACAGGTTTACTTGTACTCACTTTAGACAGGTCTGCTTGTACTCACTTTAGACAGGTTTACTTGTACTCACTTTAGACAGGTTTACTTGTACTCACTTTAGACAGGTTTACTTGTACTCACTTTAGACAGGTTTACTTGTACTCACTTTAGACAGGTTTCCCTATACTCACTTTAAACAGGTCTACTTGTACTCACTTTAGACAGGTTTCCCTATACTCACTTTAGACAGGTTTACTTGTACTCACTTTAGACAGGTTTCCCTATACTCACTTTAAACAGGTTTACTTGTACTCACTTTAGACAGGTTTCCCTATACTCACTTTAAACAGGTCTATTTGTACTCACTTTAGACAGGTTTCCCTATACTCACTTTAAACAGGTTTACCTGTACTCACTTTAGACAGGTTTACTTGTATTCAACAAAAACAAAGTAATATGAAGATTCTCAAGAGCTATGCTATTGATTCACCTGTATTTAGGTTTGCATGGTATTCTCTTCATTATGAAGCCATGTGGGATAGTTGTTCACTAACCCACACTATCTTATCATACTGGGATACAGCTTGCTTTCTACACACAAACCAGCATCCCAATTACTGGCCAGAATATGTGCTTTACATCACCCATATCGTACCTCACTCACATTTCTATTCCTGTCTTATAAACACAATGAATGCAATGCTTTTTGAGAACTAGAATAAAATAATATAAGAACTAGATATTTTAGCTGTAAAATGGTTAGGCTGTCAGAATGTGTACACCTATTATATCTGACATTTTGACTGTTATAAATATCGTAATTCTGATAACTTCATAATATAACTGACTGTATTTTTCTACTTGGTCTTAAAATAGGCCTTTCAGACTTCATTTACATAATAGGCCCCATCCACCCTCTTCTATATTTTCAAAAAGGAGTTTTGACTCTATGAATTTCCTAATCTGGCTCAGTCTTATATTCTAAAGAAAAGCAAAAAAGCAAAAAACACCAAAACTGTCTTATGGTCTCCCAACTAACTTAATCAGCATTAATTCACTCCAGATATTGGCATAGATAATGTAATAATTTGTCTCAATGTGCTGAGTCACTGTTTCTGTTGGATTCCAATAGATTTAACAAGTTCTGTTCATATTCGAGCCACACCTAATTACAGCCATGGGAAATGGGAATATCATAAAAATCAGGAACCAGAAGTCCAATAACCATCACACAGGATTTGACGTGTCAATCTTAAATATCATGCAATATTTTTCTCAAGCACCAAACCATTATTTACTGGATCAGGTCAGTATAGTCTTATCATCGATCATGTTTAAACCACTCAAATCTACAACCATCCATCATGTGTTGCTGCTGTTGCAACATGGCTCCATATTTCCAACATGCAAGGTAGGGTGTCACAATGGCTGAGATTTTCATCCATAACTTTTATCATAATCCTTTCAAAATACTATCCCCATACCATTCACAGATTTCCTAGCAATACCATTACTTTTGATACCCATCACAATGATCTGTATAACAAATTGCACCTCAGATGTAATGAAAGAACAAGTAGCTATATAATAGATGAGACATGGTCTGATCTGCAATTAATTTCAGTATGCTACAGGTATGCTCAAATACACAAAATATCTTTTCTCCATAGAAGTCTTGCATCAACCCAATGAGCCCCCCCCCCCAGCCCTATCAACTTCACCCCCACTACCATCAACTTTGCCCCAAAGGAGATATGAGATGGATATATAGGCTGGGGAGAAATTAATAAGGTTTGATGTAAGACTACTAAAAGTTTGATTAATCACAGATTCTTAGCTTTCACCATGTTCTCTAAAGCTAGATGCGGTTGCTATGACAACCACCTACAGTAAACTTGGACCATTAATCCTAGATTACAGGTAACTGAATCTGACAGGGTCCATTCTGAGATAAACTTTACCCTTTCTGCCTGGACATATTGGTATAGAGAACATATACCTTAAACTGTTTCTGGAAAAGTTTGATAGTAACTATCTTTCCCTTAATCACTCTCTACTCAGTGCATCCCACAAACATTCCAGACATCTCAGGATTACCACAAAATATTTCTACTGATGTTGCACGAAACCCAAACAAATAAACTGTAAAGCCATCAAAAATGAGAAAATTATCATGCAATAATTATATATTGATAGATGGAAGAATTCTGGCAGTCTTGCACCCAAGGAGAAAATGGGGTACGGGGGCTTCATGCAAGACTAGAAATCAGAAAAATTGCAACTAAGAGAAAATGACTAGCACCTGTAAATGGTTGGTGAAACTATTCCAGATCTCTTCAGATCTGACTTCCTCCTGAAGCTCTTCAAAGTAATTGTGAATTAGGAAAACAGCCAAAGAAAACATCAGTAAGCTAGGCCATGATAATATTTCCATGGGTGCATTACGAGTCTGTTGAATGTTTGTATACAATTATGTGGCAATATATTTAGAAATGTTTCTGAGCTGTAAACTATAAGATATCTTGTATGTTTACCTTTGGTCTTTCTACATTACTTCCAGTAGACTGGAGGTTTGGATGTTACCTATCACAGGTAGATTGATTCTAAATATGGGGTAAAATTCAAATTTTATCAACTTTGCCTAAAAATATCAAGAACTGGACAGAATTGTTGATTTTCAGCCTTTTCCAAATCCTAACTCAGAATATGTAAGTTTGTAACTGGGCAAGATGCTGGAGCCATTTGTGGCAATTGTAGTAAAACCATTAGGTTAGAGACATAACGGTACTAAAAATATTGAAATCCTTATCACAGTTGGGTATTCTGATCATTACTTTTTGACAGGAATTAATGTCCCCCTGAGATTTATCTCCTTCTACTTCTAAAAATGGCTTTAAAATTCACAAAGCACTAATGCTTATTTCCTGTACCAATGTATCGACATCCATGTTCAACAAGCAGAAGGAAAAAATTCAGAACACCTGCGAAGCATTGATTTCCTTCATTGGTTTATCTTGAGTGTACCTCAACTGGTTTCTTCGCTTGTATTCTGGTATCTCAACATGTCAGTTCATTTGAAAACTCCTCCGGCTATTCTGAGTATTTTGACAAATACAAAGTGTGTCTTACTTTGAATTCTGTTGTCATGACAATGTATCCTACCCTGAGACCTAAGAAAATACTTTTGAGTCATATTTTGACATAAAATGGGTGCATGAATTTAAATATTGTGAAAATGGTATCCTCCTATCCTATTACCTTTTATCAAAATATCCTCTTGTGTTTTGAAAGAGATGCATTATTGAAGGAATCTCTGGTGTGATATTAGAGGGCTCATGTAGAATATCATGGCAGCCATGATTTCTATAGTGAAACATAAGCTAGATTCCATCTTAACAGTAAACCTGACAATGGTTTTCAGTGGCCAAATTGACTAAAGTATTAATTCTAGAGTTCTGTATTTATTTAGAGGTTCTGACAACATGGACACTTTGATACTCATCTTGATGTTTTGCTTGTGATTGCCATGGAAATGGTAGTATTATTATGTAAGATAACACCAATCTTGAGAAAATGCAACTTGATCTATCATGATCAGTTTTCCAAACTCCCTACCTCGTATACCCTGGCTGGAAGTTGATGAGAGACAGAATGCAGGTATTGTACACTATGTTCAAGTTGAAAAGAGCTGTAGTTTATACCTTTCTGTGATGCCATGTTTTAGTAAAAATCATTATGAACTTTTCACCCTATTGCCATGTTAAAACCACCTTGTTCCCACAAGTATCACCACAACATACTTTGACCTAGTTTAATGAATATTTACAATAAGTGATCTATTAATCATTTCTTGGTCATGGAATATATATTTAGCTTCACCAGCTATTAAATTGAAACAGAAAAAACGATTTGATTTTCATTCAAATATTAAATACAAAGATTAAAACATTATTGCTTTGAGATCATGAGGAATAAAAGAAATATTTTCCCAAATCTCAGAACAAGATACAGATATACCAGATGAAGTGCTAACCCAACCATAAAACATCTTAATATATTGATTTCCTACACAGTTTTCCACAAATCTTAACTTGAGAGGTTATCATTCACTTATTTACATATACCAATAATCAGACTTGGTCATATTTCCGATAGGCTGCATATTAGACTTAAACAATTTTGATACATCCTTTTTGTACCTAAACCACATATGATTTTCAAAGGTTCCTGATTTCTAAAGGCTCCCTTGTGTTTATCTTTTGTCAATTAAATGCAGCAAATAGCAAATCATTTAATAACAATACTGATTGTTTCGATGAAGTAGCATAATTGTTTGACTTACAGTTTCTGAAGATCCTTGAGAGCACTGAAGGCATCAGCTCTTATCATTGTAATGGCATTGTTACTCAAGTCCCTGCAAATACACAAAACAATGATGATTATACAAATGAAACAACAGTGATTATAGAAGAAGAAAGAGAGTATAAACCAGAACTAGATAATGGCAATGCCAAGGTATATCAAATCGAATTGAACATATAATTAATATATCCAAACAAATCTTGGTAGGTATGCAAAAACCTCAAATGTAATTACTGGACCAAACAAGTATGTGTATGATGGTGATGTGAACATGAATAACTCTGGCTGATTATGATGTGCAGTGGTGAGCTATGGGCCAATCAAGCATGTAATTACCACAGGTGAGGTATAATATACTCCCTTACATACATGAACAGGCATTTTGATTTATCAAACCCAATCTTTATCTCATCTGTATATTCCAAGGGATAGTAAAGGCTAAGGATCCAACAAGGATGTCCAGGGAAACCTGTGTACATTGAACACCCAAAGAACCTCAAAAATGTGTTCACTATAGCTAGGTGTTCACTACAGAGAGCTGATTTTATACAAAAGCCAGTGGTATATGCTGAGAAAGGGTGTTTATTAGACATGGGTGTTCATGAGAGGGAGGAAGTGTTCACTACAACAGTTTAAATTGTACATATATTGCGATGGAATTATTAATGAACAGAAAACTATGAAAAGATTCAAAGAACACAATTTACAAAAAATTAGATTAGCTTTCATGTGAAAGTATACATGTACATTGTACATTATAGGAATATTTGATAACATATTATTGCTAAGTATAAAAGAAAAATATGAAAATCTTTTTAGAGCTTGGTTTCACCCTTTGTATGATTTCTGTCCAGGTAGCTGACATAATTATTATTTGCAACATGTTGTTACAAAACTCATGAAAGTAAAATCATAATTACACATATATATGTCTGGCACACTAAAACATAAATTCATTTTAAAATCTAAGCCCACTGGAGCAAAAAATCCCTTTTGGTTAAATGGGTATGGATTAATCAAACTGAAAGTGATATCACATTTTGATACAAGATGCACATGATGTGCACTAAGCCATTGTTTTTCCCACACTGCTTACCAGTTTAATGTCAGACCTTAGAAAGACACAATATGTTCATAGTCCCTACAAACAGACCTACCTACAGACCTAGGTAAATATATCATAGAGGGGAGAAATATATAATAGAGGGTGGGGGGCAATGGCTTGAACACTGACCAGATCATATCACACCAGATCATCTTGTGATACAAACCAAGTTGAGGATTTGTGATCTATGAAGTTAATCTGCACTGAGATAACCTTGTTAAGTCTTAAATCAAGCCCCTAAATGTGATGTCCCGCATCCATTCCCTCTAACTTGATTTGAAACAGACAGATAGTTGGTAGCCCAAGGACTTGATGCAACACTCTACCATATGTTAGAACTGTAGCTTGTATCATTGAACAGATGTTAGAGAACCATAAACATTCATGACCAAATATACCAGTGTATATAGGGCAAAGAAAGGTAGAATTAGGATACATGATTGCAGTTTTGATTTTCAATAAAAGAATGAAAACTTCTGAACTTGGAAATCTAAGATGAGATGGAATTCAGGATCAAAGCATAGAAAAAATGTTATCTGATTCCTCAATTACAATTTTTGAATTTTATATACAGATATATAGATTAGTATAAAAATATTTTTATATCATCTGTCTGAGTTGTTCCCTTACTTTTATATAATTTCTATACCAAGATATAAACTAATGTCTTGTGAAGGTTTACATGGGTCGTTTGATTTTTGATTCTTAAAAGAGAGTTTCGTCAATTCATTGCTCTAGGCCTTGATACTCAGGGTAGTGGGTACTGGTGAATTCATACAGTATAGTGCACAACAACAAGAAATGACACCCCCATTCTATTGCTTTATCATTTTTCTTGCAGCAGTACACTGTACTGTAAAAGCAGGGAGGTGCTTTACTGCTTCCTAGCAATTACTGGCTGGTAATCTGCCCTCCACATGCCCAGGGTGTTCACTTATCATGTAACCAGCTGTCTTCCACTTTATGCAAGATATTTCATAAAGCCACATCGAAATTCTACATGTTTTTGAGATCTGGCAGGCTTTTAGAAATAATTGGATGACGTTTGCACAGTTGAGATATCAATTGTCAAAATATCTCAATAATTGCCTAAAAAAACATTTCCAAATATCAAATGTTGCTAAAATGTTATGGTTAAATATTCTTGAAAGCTGTCAGGGTTTCTATTTTCAGAAAGTGTCAATTAGAGCAGCTACCTACCCTGAGATGAACATGTCATTTACGCCTGATTTTTTATGATTTTCTTAAAAAGTGAATTTCAGGCCAAAATTGTGATTATTATTGGAACCTCGATCACTCTTGGTAAAAGCATTCTAAGACAGACATTTCTCCCTATAAATGTAAAGACATACACATTTCCATCCTACTTTGGGTAGGACTACTTTCATTATGGGTAAAATGGTACTAGATATAGTACTAGACTACTAGTATCTATGGCATGTGCTACAAAGCAGAATGGGGAATAGATATGGGCAGGAAACAGTTGGATTTTTATTTCATGCCAAGGATTTATTGAACACCTAGGAAGTGATAAATAATGCTGATATTTACAGATTATCAGGGTACAGTTGTTCAAATTACAACTAATTGTAGTGCTCAGATTAACAATTTTAATCAACTGGCCCCAAAACTGTCATATTTATCATTGAGAACATATTCCTGATAACTCAGACTTTCATCATTGGAAATAAGTTCAAAATTGATAGTTTTTTAATAAGTGCTGGTAACTGTAGCACAGCATGCATGCTAATGAATGTAGAGTAAACTAATTTGCTAATATTGTTTCCCAAAAACATGACAGATCTGACAAAACATTTTGACAAATTACCTTGAATCATTTTTTCTCAGCTTCAAATATGTAAGTACTTTTCACCCATTTAAAAGTAAAAGTAACCTGAAAACCGTACATAAAGAAAGAAATTAGCATGATTATTCCATTTGAAGGTAAACTTAATGATCATGGACTGAATTCCACAAGATCAGTGATATTTCAACTAGAATTTTGTAAAAATCAAAATACAGAAAAAATCTGTATGTCTGAACACCTCAATGTACCAGGCCTCGAAGATGGAGGAATTTTTGCCTATTATGCAATTCTATGTTCTTGTTATGAATTATGCCAGACTGATTCAATTATGCTACCCTTATAGAATCACATAAAACTTGGGAAAACTCATGAAGTGAAGGTTGAAGGCAATTATGTTCTGCATTATGGAAAAGTTGGTTCCTAGGTCTCACATAAGTAATGATTCAGTTCCTAAGTGGCATCAGATGCTTCTAGATGAGAATTTCTAGGGGTCGTCACAAGAGGGAGGGTCTCAGAAATGAAATATTGGAGAATCATTCCAATTTTTATAATTTCATGGGATCAAATTCCTGGGACCACCAATCAAACTGAGTTGCCAAATTGATAATCTCAATCATAATATTCTGATAGCGAGTTCATCTACAAGACTTCTCATTAAAGAAACATTATAATCTGAATGCTGATTGCTGAAATGCACAGCTTGGCTTTCTAAGGTATTATGAGTGGAAACATGTGAGCCGTCATCATATTATATCAGAGTGTGAGTGTAGTGAACTTATATGAGTGCAGGGTAGCCCATTTCTGAGATAAGAAGCAGTCATACATCCATGGCTACTACTAGATTTGAAAATTTTAACCAAGCCAATGTCAGAATAACAGCCAGAATGAAACATGCCATTTCTTTGACAAACTGTTACTATGTTACCTGGGTTTCCTTCTGGGATCATTAGTCAAAAATTCTGGGAATGAGAGATAGCCTCTAGGATGATATTGAACCCCTTGCAGCTGACAGAGCTTAGGGGTAGAAACTACAGAAATAGCTCCAGAGACAAATTATGATGCACCTTATGATAAATTAGTACAACATGTGTGATATACCCTTTATTAGAGGGTATGGGAGGGTCAGTAGAGGGGGTACCAGAAGCATTTATCTCAAAAGGTACATCTTGACTGGTCTATGTTATGCAAAGTAAAGAAATGAAAACACATTTTTCATGAAGACAAAAACAATCTTTCAATTCTTACTTCACTCAATGACATTATCCATCAATTATTTTTGACATTAAGTTAGAGAGAATCCCTTTGCTATGGCCAAAGCAGTGATGAGTGAGTAGTGAGACAACCAAACCACAACCTCCATACCCTGACTTGATATAACACAATGGTCAAGTTATATGTCCCCTATAACACATTCACACAATCGAAGATAACCAAATAGAACATTCATTACTCCATTTGAAATGATGCATATAAAAGCATAGTACTATGTATCACAAAATGGAAGAACAAATTGCAATTTCTGAAAAAAAAGTTTGAGCATCTTTGATTATTTCCAGGAAGGGAAATCTTTCTTTCTCTCCGATGGTCAGTGTGTATAAAGATCACTTAGATGTTTTGACACAAATGATTTTCTTAAACAAATGCGGTGAAGAGGTTTCTAATTAATGGGTTAAAACTGGGAACAGGTTCAGATGGAACCTCACCTGACTCTCCCTCATACATATATTCTCGTTCAACACATTTTAATAAAGAATGAAAATATTTGTGTTGAGTTTGCAACATGTTTTGATATTATCTTAACATATTCAAGACTCAAAAAATATTCAATGAAATGGCTTATCATTAGGACGAGTTGTATTTTTTACTGTTACCTTCTTCCATAGGTTTTAATACTTTTTAGGGGATTCCCTTTTGCTATTTATATTGTGCTTAGGGATATGTTCTATACAGCTTAGAAAAGAACATCCTAGTCATCATTGTAAAAAAAGAGTGTAAAAATAGTTATGGACTTGGAGGTATATATATCTGCATCAGTGAAGGAACTAGAGATCAGTCATGGGGTACCATTACCTTCTATAAACATTTAGGAGGCTAAATAACCATATGTGATACCTTGAGGATTACCATGGTAACTGACCCTCCATAAACATATCATAGCTCCCTTGAATTGCAGACAAACACACAAGAGATTCAATTCAATTTGAGAAAACTTTATTAAAGGTCAAGTCACAATAGCTACCAACAATTAAATTTTTTACATATTTCTCTATTTATTAATATCCCAGTTTATGCTGCTATCCAAATCCAAATCGCATGTCTATTTCAGAGTGTTCAGGCCACGAGTTATAATAATGAAATTTCAAAGATAATAGGTTCCACTACAACAAAAAAGGTCACTAAGTTCAAGACGGATGAGGGGACAAAATTAAAAAGGGTTGAACCTGTTGATTGGATATAAATAAAGGACTGTCCTGACAACACTTCAATATATGCACAAGTTTATTGACAAACATGAATAGCTGTATTCCTACATGCTCAAAACCAACCATAAATATTAACTTTTCCACAATAGGCACTATTTAATATTTGAACACATGCTTCGTTTAATCCAAATTTAACCAATTTAAATATCCTTTAAGATCTGTAGATCATCAAATAGTATTTTACCCAGATTTTACCAATTCCCAAATAGATAAATTCAAGGCAGGATTGTGAGAAAATAAGGAAAATGGGAAATATGGCACAACTGAAGGTAAAACTAACATTAGTATAAGTTTTACTTGGGTCTTTTACAAGGGTATGATAAGACCAAGTAGCACTTATAAACTAAACCATAGCATGGAATGATAAGTGAGGTCAAGATATCTATGAAAAAATCCAACGCACAACACACATCCAACTCACAACCTATAAAACTCATATTAACAGTGACATATTAAATAAATATTTGAGTCTCTTTTATACAGTTCTGTCCCGTCCATTTTCATTAAATGCAAGGGTAGGTCATTCTGTTGGTTCCTCTAGCCTTGGGGGATTAAAAAGCCAATCTATCACATCTGCCTAGCAGATACTCACAGGAAGAAAAATATACTTTGCTGCATAGATGTATGTAATGTTCACCTTTGTTGTTTACCTTATGGACTTCTATATACCATAGGTCAACTTTGTAGAACATTTGTGGCATCTGAAATAGTCTCCGAGTTTTCTCTTTCTACGCATACAGGCAGACCATGATTCAAAGACTCATATGTAAGTAAATGTATCTCTGGGACAAAGGCTCTAGATAGATCATAAGTTGAAAATATGATTTCTAAGGAATCTATCAAATGGAAATACTCGTAGGACGTAGATAGAAAGTTTGTTTGATGCAAGAATACTGCCTTCCTCAAAGCCTGAACAAAACAAGGAATGGTAAAGTGTAACAACAAGAATTTAAATTTCATCTTTGGAAAATATTGGAATGAATTGTATCAAAAAATATCACGGCATTGAACTTTGTTGATATAACCTCCTCTGGACTCTTTGGTTATCCTCTGGACTCTTCAGTACAGTGCTTTGTTTATGAAAAGAGAACTACTTTACTTCTGAATGTTCAATTATATGCACTTCCCTCCTCTGTAATTGTAAAGATGTTGAACTACATGGATTTTGCATCAAGCAGATATTTCTCTTCTGATCTTACATGCGGATCAATAAAACAAACATACATTCCTCAATAAGGAAAAACCATCTTCTCTAAAATGCACCATTATTCAAAACTATATGATTATCACATACATCTTTATGTTAATATGAAAAATATGTTTTTAATGATGTCCAATGCAGTAAGATAACATTAACCGATTTTAAAGTGCACATCCTTGTCTAAAACATAACATCTAATATTTGTTCAGATCTTATATTCATAGTTCCAATGATCAATAGTTCACACTGCACTCAAAGAAAAGAATCAAGATTATAATATCAGTTTTTGAATATCTGCTGATTAAGAAATAATATTAAAGCAAGATTCGTAGGTAAGAAACATATACTTACAGTTGTAAGACACGGTCTTCTGCCAAGTTCTCAGGATATATTTGTTCAACACTTGTGATCGGCACTGTATTTTTACAGACCACTTTCTTGCCATTTGCCCCACTTTTATCATCTTCCTTTAAGCTATGTCCGCGTAATGATATACATGTGCAACCAGCCGGACAACTGGCAACTGGTTGCCATAGCAACAAAAATATCCAAATGAATAACCCACTTTTTACCATTTTGGTAGTAGATCAGAATTCGCCATTCCTTTCCGTGCTATTGATGTAAATCCAATATATTCTTTCAGCTGCTTTCGTATATTATAGATCTTCTGGTAAGGAAGCAATTGTACCAATGCACAATTAACTATTCCAGGATTGGAATTTCATAAAGACATATTTATATCGAGAATGTTAAGAGATTACATCATTGATAAAGTGTCTATTTCCCCAATGACAATTCATAGATGAGATCTTGAAAATCCATTGGCGTTTCCAATATAATAGGCATCCTAGGCTGATGTATGGATAGATATATCAGTCCTGCTAGTAGCTCCTTACAAATTAGTATCTGGAAAAGATAAAACATCATGTTAACATAATTTTAAGTATAAAAATATAAATTAAGAGGCATTTGAAAAACAATTCAGGATCGTGGGTACGATGCTCATGGGTTCAGATATCAGTGATGCGTTTATATCAATATGGAATACCGTATAACTTTCGCAACTGAGCTATTTTCTTCCAACTTTACAGGAAGGATCTAGGAAAACTTAAATATTCCCCGCAATATGGGACTTCAATCTATAGATCTGTTATAACATTTTTATGCATGTATTCTATATTTCTTAACCTGAACGAAATGTACTCAGGTCAGATCTTTAGGCTGAATCGAGGAATTCAAACAAAAGACACTGAATGGATATAGAGTTGCCACTTCCCATTGATTTTATTCTTAGTGCTGTTTCTCCCCAGGATCTTTTCCCAAATGTGTGAAATTTGACTGTCTAAGCAAGGGAAAACTGAGACATTGTTAAGTATAATGCAGTTCTGCCTAGATTTCAAAATATGCAAACTTTCTAGGATTTTTCCTGTCCTGAGTGTCAATGGTCTCTTATTAATAAAGATGCAAAATCACATTATTCTAAATGGTAGATGCAGGTGCCTCTGGCTTAATGCAGGAGAGAAAACTGCACTAAACCACCTTGTATTAACTGAAGTTATGAATACAATGACAGGTGAACACTCTAGGCAAAACTTCCCAGCTTACACAATACAAGATGGTGGGCATATAGCACCAATACACAACCATATGATGATGAAATCCCAATGAACAGTCAGCATGTAATATGTCCATGTACATGTATGTAAGGTGTTATTAGTTATATAATCATTCCTTTGATTTGTGAGATAATTAACCTGCTAGTAATTAATTTAAAGTTATGTTAATGATTGATGTAGATGTACTTATTGTGTTGCTCTTATAAACATATGTTTTCAACTTAAAAAATAACCTTTCCAATGAATTGACAAGAAAATTGCTTTTCATTGATTGGACTTTTGAAAAGCTTTTGATCATGTTGCCAACTGATTTAGAGTCAAATTGGTGGTAAAATAATTACATGAGAGATTATGTTCAAATCACATAAGTTATGGGAAATCAACATCTTTGTAGCCTAGGCTGTTTGCCATATGAATTGGTCCAATGTAGAAAATCAAGCCTTTGGTTCTGCTTCATAGATGATGTTTATATTTTATTTATCTGACCTTTCTGATCATAATACTTTGAGGTCCTCTGAAATTCAGTTTAAGTGTCTCACTAAGTATTTGAAATAGATGAGACACCCTCTGCAAGTGGTATTAATCATCGCATTTCCAAAACGTGTGCCAGTAAACTGAAAGGACATTATACACCTAAGAATGCAGGGATCGTTAGAAAGAGTCTGGAGCCCTGCACCTTACCATACAAGCAAAATATTATTACAAATAATTTTTTATTCAAAATGTTTTCATATATTTGTTATTTGCTTAATGTCAAGGTGTAAAAATTGACATGTTCAAGTTGTATGAACCGTTGGAATTTAACACTAAGTAAAGTCCTCTAGCGAACACTACTCACAATCCATCGAACAAATACAGTATTTATTGAAGTTATATACACTGACTTTTCAACCTAAGCCCTATTGGCCCATGCCATATCCAAATAAAACTGAATATGGCTTCCCTTTTTAAGGTTTTAACACCTTCATTAAATTACAGTAACCAGGTTAGGAAATTGTAGATAAATAAAACAAATACATCCGTGGTTATTGGTACTTATTTCAACAATGGAACTGACAGTCTTGTTAATATAATATTGAAATAGAAGCAGTAAAAAGAGAGCATGCCTCATTGACAGCATGCCTTATTTGAAATGCATAATGATATTGACATTTTGACAGATAATTCATAACCTTTTCATTATTTGAATCAGTTATAGGGAACATAATTTATAGGTATATCTTTTGCTATATTGGTAGATATCTAATCTTTTATAAACTGTATATTAGAAATATTGCAGGTTATGTTGTCACATCAGAATGACTCAATTTTATTTTTTTAATTAAATTCTCCCATATTCCACATCTATGATATAGTAATGTTGATTGGTATCTAATTTACATTAAAACAAGGAAACAGCTGTTTCACAGGTTGTTTGTGAAAAAATCGCAGAGATTAGTGACACTTCCTCCCCCTTCGCTTATACTTCAAATTCCATAATACTTTGGAATCAATTATTTTACACTTGTAAACTTTAGCCCCTATACTAGGTAAAGGCATGTACAAATTCAGAATATAAAGGCATATACTGGTAGATATAGATTCTTCTGTAAACTTAGTTGACATATGTTCTAATGGTTCTTAGTAACTTAATGATAGGTTGCCTAGTTGAGAATCAACCTGTTATCGTTGAACATAACAAACGATGTAATAACAAATAAGATCAAAGATTCCACCTTGTAGCTTCACCATGTAATCAAAAGCTTGAGATATTCTTCTTAAAATGATAGTATTTGATATAAGACAAGGTGATACAACCAACAGTATGTGAATAAAGGCTCAAAATAATGATGAACCAGGTGATACATTTGTTGACAAGTGTTAAACTTAATAAATAAAGTGTTTGTTGTTGATTTTGGTCAATAATCACTTATGTCAATATGAACTTTGTATCAAGAGCTGAAAATTTGGGGACAAGGGCTTTAGAGAGTTAGAGCATGTAAAACTAACTTGGTCAATAAATTCAAAAAGATAAAATCCTCAAGATGAATGAACTGGATGACTCTAAAAAAACAGCATTCACATCTTGTGTTATCTTGATTGTGAATATTGGACAATAAAATCGAAGCTTCGTTTTCTGATTTTGTGGTACCCTTTCATGTCATCATGTGTCGTATGTGGTGTTTTTGAGATTGTATTGAAATCACACTTGGCACTTCTTTACAAATATGACCACCTTCACCTGATGCATTGTGTTCAAAACGCAGATTTTCCAACAAGCATATGATTCTTACAGATTAACTTTCAAAAATAAACATATTGAATAATAGCATCAACAACGTTTTTTGTTAATCCTTTCATTAGATGTCAAAACACATTTGCCTTTGAAAATAAATTAATTGATACTATTATACAAATCAATGATCAAGTTGACAAGGGCGCTATTATTCATCTAACCCATAGGCCATTTTCACACTCTCATTTCAAAACCAATACATATAGTGAAAATTGTTCATTGTAATAGTACGAGTATAATCATGAAATTTTAATTAATGCCTTTGGTTATATTTTGAGGCTTATTCATGCAGATAGAGTTCTGAAGCAGAGCTGACATTGATTAATGATGAAAACATGGAAATAATTTATATCCAACAAAGGCGTTGTCTATCATATGTCTATTTCTATGCTGCTTTTTCTAACCTCAATGCTATTAATATATTACATCGCAGAAAAATATGATAAGATCTATGTGGATATTTTAACTTTCACCTGCAGAATATAAATCTCAATATTTCATGCAGTTATCACATAAGGAAACTGTTACTGCTTTACCATTCTTCACTATTTTAAAACTGTTTTGACTTCACTGGGTTCCTCAAAACAGGCTCCAAAGAACAAGAATGGCAGGCCTATAGCCAGCATTCAATATCAGATCTATGCAATTGCCTATCAAGTATACATCTAGGTATGAGGTAGATGAGGCATGTACATCTGTAAATTTGACAGAAAACACTTCTCATACACATTAAAAAAGATTGAAAGTGCAGCGGTTGAAACACAATTTGTAACTAGCGTCTCACTTTGATTTTTTAATTTGCATTGCATCCTGGCTAGCAATAACCTATAGAATAATGATCTCTCCCAGGACAACATTTTTGAGGTGAGCATCAATAAAGTTGTGTCATATACGCATAAAACGCAATGGCGTACTTTCAGAATTTAAAGAAAAGTTGATTTTTTGATTGAATTGGCCCACACTTAAATATGATAAATATGGATAAAATGGTCAATATTTTACATTTTATTAACACATCTTTAGTCAGAATTTCATATTTTAAAACGCCCCAGAACGCTCCAACTGCAATCTCATTTTCAAATTCTCTTGGGGAAGAAACCCACCCCCAAACCCCCCTCAAAGTTCATTTGCTTCACTCACTCTTGACGTACACTCACAAAATACCCATGCGACGCTACACTACTGAAGATGTCTCTTTTTTGTTACAGTCGAAAAAAAAGAATGAAAAAATCAGCTGTTTTTCCATCATTTTTTCACTAATCTATTTTTCAACAAAAATTATGATGGGACCGAGATAAATTTACATTTACATTTTACTCTATTGCAGATGTGCAGTCTGAGGACATAACTCAATGGGTCACTTTAAAGAGATGAAAATTCCTATATCAATTGCTATAACCACATGTTATAATTACATTATAAGGGGAGGGCAATTTTCATCTTTAAAAGTTTCTGTAATGACCCCCTGGTTGTTGTTGCTGGAAATATCTGTCTCACTCAAGATTCACATTTTGTTCACCCACATCCAATAAAACGATAAAGCGAATGGACATTGTAAGAAATTTGAAGTTAGGTTTTACGTTTAATTTCCAAAGTTTCAGTTCTAGCGTGCAATTTTAATTTTTTATTTCTGTCATTTTGATTGATTTATTTTTGCAAAAAGTGCAGTGAATCCCTTCTACTTTTGAAAGTTGATATCTCCGCAGATTATCGTTCGATCTAAAGCAAAATCAGCGACAAGAAAAATGTATACTTACTTTTATTGTTGCTCCCTTTTAGCAGACTATGTACGATCCTAAAGCAATGTATTTATGATGAATTTCAATCGATAAAAGTTTCCAACATCCACCATTTTGCCTTTCATTCATTGATGTGACGTCACTTTGTGTTCTCGAATTTGATTGGCTAAACTTCAATTTGCAGATCGAAAAGATGAGACATCTATTGGGGGATGAATAGATTATTTCAATGCTACAAAATTCATACACACAGAAAGCTAGCTCTCTCCATGAGAATGTAAGGCTTAAAGCAAAGCAAAGGTTTTACGTATGTTGCAATTCATGTATAAGGAATACATGTAGGCTAAATGGACCATGGCAGTAAGGTATGGACCAACATTGTTGATACATTTGACTTAAAATAAATACACCTCAAAAAGTACTCCAAAATTAACATTTAACGTTAAATTCAAAAATGCAAATTGGGGCTGCCAGACTTTGTACAGAAGTGTTCAAGTGACTGAAATCGAACACATGGCTTGCATATGGGAGACCATGCCAATGCGAGACACAGGATACTCGAGTTACCTCCAAGTCTTAAATAATTCCAGCACTGATTCAATCTCTTCAGTAACCGTTTTAAAATCAGACATAACACTAGAACAATTAAAGGATTTGGGAGTTTCATGTTTTTGTAAAATCAACACTTCTGATCAGTCTCCTTTTAATTTACTAGATAACAGTAAACTCTACCCTATTTCTTAGTTTTAAGATAACATTTGATGAAAGCCTGTATTCATTTAATGGAATAATGGAGACTGACAATTAAAAAGGCATAACAAAAACTGCATTTTACTAAATAAAAAAAATTATTTCCTTTATTTACAATTTATTGCCTATATACATGATATACAGAGATTTGTACTTTGTACATACTTTTGAAGTAGGAGTGTTGCCACAAAGTTAAATTAATAAATTTAGATCTTATTCAACTGTTCCTGATATTTACATGTGTAGCACAAGATACTGTTCATGTATATACATCGTTGCCAATGATATCTAACGACATGTATATCAGCATTTATTTGTGTCACACAGGCCCGTAGCCAGGGGGGGTTCGCAGGGTTCGGGCGAACCCCCCCCCTGGCCAAAAATTATTTCAAAATCATGCAGTTTTTCACCATTTTGAGCACTTCTCAAGTGATTTTAGCCATATTTGGGCCAAAATTGTCAAATGTGAACCCCCCCTGGAAATTTTTGAAAAATGAACCCCCCCTTGGCAAATCCTGGCTACGTGTCCTGGTCACATGTAATATTTTGGCATGTAAATTAGTGTTATCCTTAAAGACCCATTCACATTTTAACACACCAAAAAGGTCATCAATATACTGTTGATCTTCCTTATATTAAAATGTTCTCTTTTTCACTTTCTGAAATGCCATTGGACTGCGTAACTTGGGTTCTTTCTCTCTATAATGTTCATTAAAGTCCAGTCTAAAACTGAGGAAACGCAGACTGACATCAGAGTGTGATTGTAGCATGACCAGGAACTGCTGAACCATGTCCTGAAATGTACAAACAGAATCAATAGTGACTAATATAGAATAGATAATATAATATAGAATGACTAGGAACTGCTGAACCATGTCCTGGAATGTACAAACAGAATCAATAGTGACTAATATAGAATAGATAATATAATATAGAATGACTAGGAACTGCTGAACCATGTCCTGGAATGTACAAACAGAATCAATTGGCTAATATAGAATAGATGTAGAATTCAACATTAAAACAAAATCAATAAAATTTTCCTTCAACATGATAAGCTCTTTGGGCTTAAATGAGCAGCAAAAATTAGAGATATGAGTTATTTTGTTCACGCTATTTCTCGTTTAAAGCTACCTGATATGACTGCGATAACACCCTCAATTTGGCTATTTCTCATTTAAAGCTACCTGATATGACTGTGATAACACCCTCAATTTGGCTATTTCTCATTTAAAGCTACCTGATATGACTGCGATAACACCCTCAATTTGGCTATTTCTCATTTAAAGCTACCTGATATGACTGCGATAACACCCTCAATTTGGCTATTTCTCATTTAAAGCTACCTGATATGACTGCGATAACACCCTCAATTTGGCTATTTCTCATTTAAAGCTACCTGATATGACTGCGATAACACCCTCAATTTGGCTATTTCTCATTTAAAGCTACCTGATATGACTGCGATAACACCCTCAATTTGGCTATTTCTAATTTAAAGCTACCTGATATGACTGCGATAACACCCTCAATTTGGCTGCTGTACTAGAGATGAATCCTCTCTGAAATTCTTTCATCCTCTGCTTCTCAGCTTTTTCTTCATTTGCTGTCATCGCCCATTCACCCTAAATATATTTATTCACTTTTCAATTGACATTGATAACAGGTTTTAATTTTTGAACCTGCTTTACAAACTGGATTAATACCATTTGATATTTATACTATCGACAAATTTCTTTCAATTTTTCAAAGATTCAGTCATGTTCATGCACAAAAGGATTGTGCAGGATTTCATTCTATGTTTTCATTAACTATAAATTTGGGGGTATTCAAAAACATTGTTGTTGCAAGTGTATAGGCTGTCCCAATCATATCATACCTTTTCTGACCGTGACTTCTGATGGTCCTGAAATGCCTGTCTAGCCAGTCTTTCATCCTCAGCAGTTTGATACATGGCATCTTGAATTTGTTGGAATTGAACTATAAGGTCAAATATAACTCTCAGTTGAGTCAGTATACCCTGAAAATAACAAAACATTGCATCTTGAATCTGTTGGAATTGAACTATAAGGTCAAATATAACCCTCAATTGAGTCAGTATACCCTGAAAATAACAAAACATGGCATCTTGAATCTGTTGGAATTGAACTATAAGGTCAAATATAACCCACAATTGAGTCAGTATACCCTGAAAATAACAAAACATGGCATCTTGAATCTGTTGGAACTGAAATATAAGGTCAAATATAACCCTCAATTGAGTCAGTATACCCTGAAAATAACAAAACATGGCATCTTGAATCTCTGTAAATTGAACTATAAGGTCAAATATAACCCTCAGTTGAGTCAGTATACCCTGAAAATAACAAAACATGGCATCTTGAATTTGTTGGAATTGAACAATAAGGTCAAGTATAACCCTCAATTGAGTCAGTATACCCTGAAAATAACAAAACATGGCATCTTGAATCTCTGTAAATTGAACTGTAAGGTCAAATATAACCCTCAGTTGAGTCAGTATACCCTGAAAATAACAAAACATGGCATCTTGAATTTGTTGGAATTGAACAATAAGGTCAAGTATAACCCTCAATTGAGTCAGTATATCCTAAAGATTTGTAGATAATTCAAAGATCCGACCTACCCTAGATTTCTCATCAAGCAATGATCGTGTAATGATCGTATCTAAGAACTCCTGGTGGGCAGCTATGACATAATCTAAGTCCTCTCCTGATGTCACCTTGCTTAAAAGCTCATCCCAGGAACATTCTAGAACCTGAAAGCACACAATCATCAAATACATCTGAGTACATTTAAATCTCCAGGAACATTCTAAAACCTGAAAGCACACAATCATCAAATACATCTAAGTACATTTAAATCTCCAGGAACATTCTAAAACCTGAAAGCACACAATCATCAAATACATCTAAGTACATTTAAATCTCCAGGAACATTCTAAAACCTGAAAGCACACAATCATCAAATACATCTAAGTACATTTAAATCTCCAGGAACATTCTAAAACCTGAAAGCACACAATCATCAAATACATCTAAGTACATTTAAATCTCCAGGAACATTCTAAAACCTGAAAGCATACAATCATCAAATACATCTAAGTACATTTAAATCTCCAGGAACATTCTAGAACCTAAAAGCATACAATAATCAAATACATCTAAGTACATTTAAATCTCCAGGAACATTCTAAAACCTGAAAGCACACAATAATCAAATACATCTAAGTACATTTAAATCTCCAGGAACATTCTAAAACCTAAAAGCACACAATAATCAAAAAGATCTAAGTACATTTAAATCTCAACTCATCATTGCAATATTACTGCTTTTAGTCAATGGACTGATGGAAGGTGCTCTCTATAAATTGAGATTGATATGTACTTGTAAAAGTGACATAATAAAATTGTTTTGGGGTTCAAAGAGGCTCTGTTGAAAGCTTCCGTGTTTCCATTTGAGGTTGCAGGGATTAACTATTGACTTTATACTGATGGAATAATTTTTCCGTAATATTCCATGAAAATGCTCACCTCAAAGTTGATATAGTACTGGACTTGTTGTATGAAGTGTATCATCTCACATCCAAGTACATGGCACTGGTGCAGCACAGGACTCAACTCAGGTAAACGTCTATATAGCTTAGCATTGGCCATCTGGCCTTTCCATATACCAGCTAGGCTGTATTCCATACGCTTAGCTCTCCAGAGGAAGTTGAATACTTGTAAGTAGAGCATGATACACTCAGACGTGAACACTGTTGATATTGGGCCATCAACGTGGTAGTCTAAACTGAACACATCCCAACCAGTGTCTCCATGAGATACCTGCAAAGTAACATTGAGAGATATTAAGATGTCTACAGTGTGTACTGTTATACCATCCTTCAACATGAACATAAATCAGCAGCAATTTTAATAGGTTGCATCATCAATTAGTGGGGGAAAAGGGTGTTACACATTATTGATTTGCCGATTGGATCATAATTTGTGAAGTCAGGGGTTTGTTTCCTTTATGACTGAGTGTTCTTTTAGATGTTTCATTTCAATGCTGCACTTTGTAATACTCTTGTGCTTATTATATAAGCATTCTCACACAGGCCCGTAGCCAGGGGGGTTCGCAGGGTTCGGGCGAACCCCCCCCTGGCCAAAAATTCTTTCAAAATCATGTAGTTTTTCACCATTTTAAGCACTTCTCAAGTGATTTTAGCCATATTTGGGCCAAAATTGTCAAATGTGAACCCCCCCCTGGAAATTTTTGAAAACTGAACCCCCCTTGGCAAATCCTGACTACGGGCCTGATATGCACCCCTTTACGGAAATCATGGCCTACAATCCACCCTAAATGTATCTGGAAGGTCAGCTCTTGATATGAGTAGGTCAAAATCTGAGACACTCACCTCTAGGAGCCTCACATCCAATCTCTTTAATATATCAGGGTCATCAAATTGTGCATTGGTTGACCTTATAGCAGTCTCTAAAATACCAGTTAGGTTGTGCAAGAACAGGTTACTGGCTGGTTTGGCCAAGTCATCCCTAAAAAGTGTAACAGCACTATTGAGCTGAATGTAAACATTTCACAAAAATGCAACATATACTCTTCCATTCTCAGTTATGTTCACATAACCCAATATTTCCCACCGTGATTTTAACTGATTATACAGACTTGGTTTCCAATATAAAATTCTCAATATAAATGCAATATTATGTTTGCACCAAATTACTCAAAAACTGTCAATCCCAAGTTCCAAACTCTCCACTGGCAGAAACAACCAAACAATTGTCTCCTGAAATATTGTGTTATTATCATTTTTATGAAAAAGATGATAATTGACAAAACTTACTCAAGTAAGTCCATGAGATGCCTTATGAAGTCACCCTGGCCAAGCAGCAAGTATCGTCTCATTGCCTGGAGATGTTCTAAGAATTTATACTTAGTGCGTAACACTTCTAATAGATGGCTACTGGTTTCTTTGTACACAACATCAACGAATTTGTCAAAGGAACTATTGAGATCTTGGGTGAACATACATTCCACTGAAATATACACGTGAATATATATTTTTGGTAAAGAGTTGTAGAAATCTAAGTTGAAATTACATGGCTGTGACAAGGCATAAGTCAGGCGTTACAACTGCCTCATGAAAAATAATTCAGACATTTTTTAAAACTGAATGTGTTCAATTGAAGTCTTATGAAAGTATCATATCTCAAATTACATACTGAGTGTAGATCTGAGACAATGGAAAATAAATTCAAATAAATTTACCATTATTAGTTATGACTTTCTTGACTGTATCCCTTTCTCTCATGTTCACTCTGTCTTGGCACAATTGTCTCAGGAAGTTAATGGATTTCCCAGCTAATAAAATCTGAAAGAAATTGTAGCCTATTTTTAAATCTTGCATCGACAAAACATCATAACACATTACTCACACCCCCTCTATCTTTTTAAATCAATTAACCATGCTTTTTCCTCAGTTCTGTCCACTAATGGATTTTGATCAAAGGGAATGGCAAGAAATGATATAAAAAAAAATCATGCAATACCTGTTGCACTTTCAATAATTTATGCAGGCTGATTAGCCCCAGCCTAAACAAACCTCTATAAATTGTAGCATTTGCTTAAAAAATACAATGTCTACAGAAATAGGGGATGAATATACTTTTCTGGCTTGTTCCTGTGTGATGAAGCTTGGAATCATTGGCTTCCTCAGTGAGTATTTGTCATGCCACAGTCTGATATTCTTCACTGTGGGGTTTCCAGCCACAAAAAACTGAAAAAGGAAATAGAAACTTTATTATGCAAAAGCAAATTTTCTCAGCTAAAACATTGAATTTCAAATGAGTGATAATAGTTACATGTATGCCATTTAAAAAAAAACATTGCTTCCAAACAACTGAAAAATTAATAGTTCAACAAACATGAATGTAGTTTTCTGTTGAAAAATTGCAGCAATTACATTGTATCTAACCGTTGTCCCTAAACTACTTTTCTGACACAATAAATACATCATATGAAAATATACTGTTATGTGATACACACTTTAAATTGTAAGTTTAAAGTTAAAAAAGTTAAGGGAAAACCTGCAGCATACTTACCTCATGGAAGTTATCTTCTAATTCCCCATCAAACATCCATTTGAGTACAGTGCCATATACAGGCTGAACAACCTGCAATTTAGAGTTATTAGTCATAAATACTATATTCTATTTACATTGTCAAATTATCTTCTAATTCCCCATCAAACATCCACTTAAGAACAGTGCCATATACAGGCTGTACAACCTGCAATTTAGAGTCATTAGTCATAAATACTATATTCTATTTACATTGTCAATTTGTTTCATGTTTGTTCAGCAGAATGGCCATTTTTTCCAATATCTTAAGTTGTTATCTAATATTTTTGTGGCAACATAAAAACAAATCAACAGTCTGAGTATTTTTTTTTATACATTTTTTAAGTACAAGGATCAATCAATATATTCTGATAAAAATGTTCTCATTTTGTGATTATATCCCTCTCATTTTTTCAGAACATATAGATTATGTAATTACACATACATGTATTATTATTAATATTTGAAGTACAATTCAAAGAAAGACAGTGGTCAAGACTTGGGAAACAAGTCAAATGGCGGCAACATTTAAGGCTGAAAGTTGTCATGTGTGAATACCGTTCTGGGTGGCAGGGTCCCTATATTTAAAACTGTCTAGAAAACTACATAAAACATATCATTTCTCCGTGAAATTAATACACAAAGTAGTTAGGTTGTTGGTATTTATTATTGGAAAGTTTAAAGTAATTTTATCAAAAACCAACAAAATAAGAGCAGGGCGTCCAAAACTTTTGGATCACCCCTCGTATATATAATAACATATAATAGTTACCAGTCTTAGTGTATGTCTAATAATGTCCTGTACAAAGGGATCACCATGTTGGGTGTATGAATATATTGCAGATGCCAAAGCCCCTCCTTTTTTACCTGCAAATTTAAAATCATTCTCATATCATAAACTTATTTCTGTTCTTTAATATGATGACATTCTGAGTGAAGAGAGCCATAGCCTGTTTAGGTTTAGCAAAGTTTGAGGAGGTCTGTTTCCAATGCTCGACTATCTGTGAATATACAATCTAAATAGTTTCTGCATTAAAATTGAAATAGACTCTTCGTATATCTATGAAACATTTATGATGCACAAATACTAGGTTTTATCTTAATATTTTCCTTTTACCTTATTTGTTGTACAAAAGTTCTTGTAAATCAACACTTCAGCTTTAATTACTCCAACATTGTATTTATCTGTCATATTACATTACCTGTACAAATGTCTACTAAGGCTGCTAGAGTTTTCATCCTTACTAATGGCTCTGTAGTCCAAACTGCAAGTTTCCTCAGTGTAAGCTGTTCTGCCATGTCTATACCCTGGTCCTCTTCTTGTTGTAACTACAAGAAAACGGTCTTGATATATCATATTTATCAAAAATGTACCCGATCATGGTTCAATATGCAATAATACATATGACTGCGTAAATCTGTATTGTCAACAATGCAAAATATGACACATGATAAAAATCTACAAGTACCTGTGCTTCTATGATGGCCATGAGTCTGTAGTATTCTGTAAGCTCTTGATGCAAAGCTGCACAAAAACTCTACAAAATAAAATATAAGTAAATCAACCATTAATCTCATGTAGATATTTGAACACTCTTAGGACCAGCTGGATTATCACATTCAGATTTTCAAATGCATGCAATAACATATTTCATAAAGCTGGGTTCGTAAAGTATTCACATGAAAGAGTTCTTTGAATATATAGGCTTTGCTGTATATACATTTCTCCTAGATATTTTGTTTGGAATCTATTTGATTGGTTAGGGCTTGATTTGAATTATATGTCAATTACCAATTATCAAGGTCTGAAGTTATATATTCTATATGTAAAATAATATTGTATTACCTGTCCAACCAAACCAAAGGCTTTGTCTGTACTTCTTGTATCGCAATATTTCCTGACTTTATTATAAAGCCACCCACACTCTGCCAGTTTGCCTACTGTCTTACGTACAGCTTTAGGTATACCAGCCTACAAGACATACAATAAACGCATACATTATTGGTTCTTGAATATTTTTTTTAAACAATTTTAAACTCAGGGCAATTTCTTTTCTGTTCTGATTTTGAACTATCTAAGAGAGGTCAAATATCCCATTTTAATCACTTTTTCAACAATATGCAAATTCCCATTTTGCCTATTCTGAACTATCTACATGTAATATCTAAAAAGAAAAATACAAATTTTTCATTAGTCCAAATTTTCTAATGAACTTTCAACAGGGTGCAAGTTTTCATCTTGCCTGTTTCAGGCTGCAATGTAATTTTCTATTGTCCTAGATAACCAATCCACATACATTGTGCATTGTATCAGTTTTTAAACCAAAATAGAATATCTATTTATCCATACCTTTGGATCAATTCTATAACCATCTTTTGTAACTTGTAGTTTTATAAGCTGGCCCTCAATGCCTTGGAATATGTACACGATCTCCCTCAGCAACACACTTTCTGATACTTCAAAGGATGCTGAAGAAAACAAGATTTCTCTCACATCAATATTAACATATATTCACAGGGGTCTATCAGATCTCAACATACCATGAGCATTGGGCTGAACATATCACTGAGCTTGCTTATACATAGCATCCCTTGTATCATGAGGACTGGTTAATAACCATGATTAAATAATAGGTCCTTAGAACAATGGAGTAGACCTAAATGATACCATGGCCATACATTAGCTAGACCATTATGGAATGTTATCACAATCATTTAAAGACATGTTTATGACAAGGAACTAACAAGCAAAATGTCAACACCTGATTTGTTACAGATCAAATCAAGGCCTCATTAGTGTAAAGAAGTGTATACTAACTGTTCTCTTGCATAGTTAGTTTATGAAGCTCCCTTGACACTGACTGTGCTTGAGACTTGCTAGCTGAATTTGCTCCAGTTCTGGACACTGTTGAGGATTTATCTGGAAAAGAGAAGAGCATTGAACTAGGCAAAAACAAATGATTTGGACTCCTTACGACGCCTTCCTTTTACATTAACTACTACATGCAGTACTCATACCCTAAAACAAGACAAGATAGAAAATACAATAAGAAATGGAGAGATAACCATTGTGATGTTTAAATTGTTTATAATGTCGCATTCAATAAAACAGGAATATTGTTTCCAGCAAACCTGTCAGATATAGAAATACCAGTCCTAAAGCCCTATATCTGACATATAGGCTAATGTTAGGCTTTATGCTAATGTTAATTATACATAGACGGTTTATTTATTAGTTACTTATTACCTCCAGATTCTTTTGAGAGGGTCCATGCCAGCCTAGCACCAAATGGCGTCCTATGTTGGGCGGGTGTGGGGAGATAACTGGAAAATATTGAATGGACATGGAGTGCTAACAATAGAATTGAGAATGCTCCTCTTAAATTTTAATATAAACTAATGTATGTAACTATCACTGTGTCTGAGTGTAGCAAAATGTATAAATAAGAAAAAAGAGATATTTTATCTTAGAATGCAGTTTTATTGCACTCATGTATGAGTATAAGGAATTATGGAATATTAAATAATTGGATGTCCTGTTTCTTACCTGGGGGGTAAAGACTGTGGCTCAAAGCTGGGGTCACTCCTTGCACTGCTATGTATGCTGCTGATCCCACTACTGCCAGTGGAGAGAGTGCTCCCCTGGGTCATACTGCCACCTGGTGCTGGGGTTCTGCTTGGAGGGGGGTTCACTCCAAATGGTGTGGAGGTAGCATGGGGCTTCATCAGACTCTGGCCAAATATATTTTTCTGTGCTGCCTGGCCCTACAAGCAAAGGCAACAAATAAGAAAAGCTATCAAATAGAGAAAGATATATATATTGACAAAAGTACTAGAGATTAGAGTGTAGCCATATCAGAAGACAATCCACTCATATGCAATATCTTGATATTTCAGAATGCAACCAATACATGTGCTTTCAATAGAAAATCAGCTTAGTGTCTTATTAATAATTGTAGCATGTTTCTCTGGTGGCCATAGGTGTAGAAAATGCAACCATCAATGCACGAAGTGAACAATGTTGGACCTAAAACCCAAAAGTGGTCATCTTAAAATTTACCAAGCATGCCAAAACAAACCAATTCTAGACTTTCATAACAAGAACCAACCGTGAAAGTTTCAAATCAATGAGTGATTTGTCGGGAAATGCAGACAACAAAAGTACTATAATGTACATGGGCATTATAAATTACTTTATACAGATAGATGCTCACATAACAAAGCTTACCCTTAATCTTGATGTTGGTCTATCTTGACTGAGACTATTGAGAAGTTGTAGAACAGCTCCCCTGTTCTGTACCACCCCCTGCCCCTGCAGCTTCCTATGTAACTCCGTGAATATAGCCGCATCTTTCTCCCTCCTCTGTCTTGCCACTGAAATATATCAAGTAACTTAAATGTAATGAGAATATGAACTGCTGTTAGCCGATATGGTTACATTGCAACTAAAATGAATCCATATTTATCATAAAAGGGGCGTAAAATTTTTGTCCATATTATTTCATACTGGTAGACCAGTGGGGATGAGCATGATACAAAAATGTAAAATTGTCTACCATTGATACTGTTTCTACTCCATGTTTTATCATTATTAATTGTATAAAACTGAGAACTTACATTTCTTCTTGATTCTTTCAGCTATTTCAAATTCATTATCCTCTGAACTAGAGTTGAAGTTACTAAAATGTAAATAATACAGTACAGTTTAAATATGATAATAAGGACTATTTGTTTTATACATTAAAATGTGGCACAACTCGTGGAAGGAGCAACTCAAATTAAACAGGGCTGCTGATAAAATACATTGTTGGGTTGTGGCATCTACTCATGATTTGAGAGCCATTTATTGTTGAATTTCAATGGCAATTTCTACAAGCCTGATATGGGCAAAATTTCCAGCCAAATGTCTACAAGATAAAAATCATAAAAATTAAAAGCAACACTACTTACAATCCCCTATAAACAGGATTTTCTCACTTACCTGCCTAATATCCTCAAAGCATACTGGAAATGTCTGTCTACAGCAGCATCTGCAATAAATTGCCAAACTTATATCGCACAAATGAAAGGCCCACATCACATTAAGGTTTTCACTTTTCGACTTTTTTTTCAAATCAAGATTGAGTTTTGCCCAGTTGGCCTCGGCATATCTATCAGTGCATCAGCACATCAAATTCGATGCATCGTCAAATACTATTGATGTACTGATCAATACAACAGTGAATTCTGTCGGTTTATCCCGTGCAAGGACTATGGTCCTGAGAACGTCTCAATCTTTTGCCTGTACGATTACAACATGGGAGAATTTTCTACGGCTCTTACACTTAAGGTACCTACTTCAATAGATTCCTGGGTATTTTAGCATTCTTTTCGTGTAGTTGAATCCACAATTATCTGGGTTTATCGGCAGAACAGGAACATTTTTCTTTTTCATTGAGATTCCATCACTTTTCAAGATGGCAGTTGGATTTAAAAGGGGATTCCCTGTTTGACTGGCCCGGAAGTACCAATAAATGGAGGAATTTGACAGTTGTAATAAGTTAAATATTACACGCAAATATTGCGATCAAGAATGAAAATTTCTTAGTAATTAGTAATTTCTTAGTCCTGGCACAGGATAACTGTTGGTGCATCGAATGTGGTGCCATCGGCACCAGTGTTACTTGTTGCATCGATTGGCATATATACTTAGGTCCCGAACGTAGGTAAGTGACAGTCGCATTTATTGTCGAAAGCCTATTTTATAGATTTGTTTTCAAGATGAAGGAAAACATTGCAATAGATCTAGATATTTCGATTTTTGCTGGATCTATTAGGATAGATGACCTGGCTGCCTAGAAGTCACACAGACACAGACAGAAATAAAATAAAAATCTGGTTCTCGCGAAGTCTCTGTCAGTGGCAGTAATCATTGATTGAATCATTGATTGAAGTCCGAGGTAGGAGGGGGAGTAGGCGTTTTCTGCAAGAAAATTCAACAAATCTGGAAGATTTATTTTTTCAAGAGAAAGTTAACCATTGAATTGCTTAATGAATTGGTGCATAGTATGGTAAAATATGTTAGGTCTTATAGGTTCGGCATAAATAATTGCTACCATACAGGTCATGCCGAGGGTCTCATATTTGTGCATCACGGCGCACTATTTCAATGCATCTATCAGTGCATCAGCGCATCAAATTCGATGCATTATCAAATACAATCGATGCATCGATCAATACAACAGTGAATTCTGTCGGTGCATTGAATCATTCGAATGTGGTGCCGACACTACAAAGTGAAAAGTAGCACCAGAGACTATATAAGGTGGCATTAAAGCACCGCAAAACATTGGATATAAACAAACAAACAGACACGAGTGTTACTTGTTGCATCGATTGGCACATATACTTAGGTAAGTGACAGTCGCATTTATTGTCGAAAGCCTATTTTATATATTAGAAATATTACCCTAGATGACCTACAAGTCACACAGACACAGACAGAAATAAAAATCTGATTCTCGCGAAGTCTCTGATTGTGATGTGATACAGTCCGAGAAATTCCTTACCATCTTGAAGTCCTGTTATCTGAGCACATAACTTATGCAGGAGGTCTGATGCCATCTTAAATTGATAAATGTGTAACAAATTTCATTTGCTAAGACTGTCTTTATCCGTAGATGTATTGTTGGACACAAAATAGGTAAAATGTCAAGGAAAAATTTATCAATTTCATAAGAGCAACGCTCTGAAATTACAATTTCATGAGCGTAATAAAATACTCAGCATTGAAATCGCCATTCCACAAGGAAGAGGCAAAATCCAGTTATTAAACCAAAATAAAAAATAAAATTTTTTAAAAAGGTGGAACCGGAAGTGATGCGCGCGCTTCCTCAATGGATTCAACTTCGGCTCAGACTGCATTCAGACTGAAAACATAGAAATTGATAAACAACAATACCAAGAGAAAGAAAAGTACACTTACCTAAAATTCTCTGTGATATCCCAAGGCTTGATAACAGCTCAAGTTTTGTAGTAAAAGGTTACACTCCAACAGTGTAACTTCTTCTTACTTAATTAAAAACAGTAAACCTGGTTACTGTTCAAGAAATACTGTTAATTACCATTAGTAACACCCAGTTACTATCTAAAAGTATGTGTAACATTAGGTTACAATTAAAATCAGCAACACTGGATACTGTCCAGGAGAATTAAGTAAATGCAATAACTCCTTGTTATTGCCCAAATTCAATGGTATACATCCATCACTTAAATAGGTAACTGTCTTTACAAAGTTCTGCTTGTTATAACATCTTTATGGCTTCTTGTCTTTGCCTGGTTGAGCCATCCCCCTGAAAGTAGATAAATAAAAGCTCATGAAGCAAATGTAAGCTCTGATTAGGGAGGAGGGTGGGACATTTCAATGCTGAGTATTTTATTACGCTCATGAAATTGTAATTTCAGAGCGTTGCTCTTATGAAATTGATAAATTTCATATCGCTTATAAAATACTCATCATTGAAATCGCCTGTTCAAAGCTACCAGATCAGCAATGGCTTAGCAATCTAGAATAACCTCAGAAAATTTGTCAACAGGTTTCCTGTAAAATTTACGGAAGGTTTGAACATTTGTCCAGTTTGCATGATCAATTATTTGCTTGGCAGATAAACCGTGAAACCAGGCTTTGCTGACTGCTGCTGATCTAGTTGAATGAGCTTTAAAAATGGAAACATCAATCCCAGCCTCTCTCATCAAATATTTGATCCAATTTGCAATAGTACATTTGGCTACTGGTTCAAAGGGCTTGTTGTTACTCAAAAACAAACGAGATTTCTGTGTGACTGACAATCTATGCTCTTCTGTGATAAATAAATAGGTTCTCAAGCAAGCAATGACATCTAAGAATTCATCTTCACAAGCCTGAAATTTTAGAGAAATTGAGGGTTTAGAAGGATTCATAGTTTTAGTAGTACCATCTAAGATAAATTCAATTTCATCACCTTTGTCCAGCATGAAGTCAGGGTTGCAACAGTGAAGCTCTGATCCTCTGCACACACTTGTCAAAGACATCAACATAGCTAATTTCCTACTCAATTGAACAGTAGTTAAATTCTCATTCTTACCTAATTGCTTTATGTACTGAAGCACTTGATCCACATCCCAGACCTTATTATATCGAGGCTTTGGAGGCTTTGTATTGAACATTCCTTTGAGAAGAGAAATAATCTGAGGATGTTGACCTACCTTAAAATTATCAACAGGCATGTGATATGCAGATATTGCTGACCTGTAAACATTCATGGTAGAATAAAGCTTACCTTGTTCAAATTGAATTGTAAGGAACTCCGCTATATTTGCCAGAGAGGTTTGAACCGGATTAAATTGTCGTTCAGAGCACCAGCTACACCACTTTTCCCAGGGTGCATTGTAAGCCATTCTTGTTCCTTTTCTTCTTGCATTAATGATAAGTTTAGAAGCTTGTTTTGAAAAACCTTCTGTTTCAAGACGATCCCAGACACTCTCCATGCTGCTAATCTCAGATCCTGACCCATCGGATGTGACTCCCCTGTTGGAGATGTCAACAGGTTGTTCATGTGTGGGATTAGAATCGGGAAGTCTACTGACATGAGAAGAAGTAAGGGATACCAACTTTGTGTGTTCCACACTGGAGTTATCAAAATTAGATTGGATTGATCTTCTGCCACTTTCTTCAGAACTCTGCCTATTAGGCAAAATGGAGGAAAGGCATAAAACTGCTTGTTCTTCCATTTCATTGTAAATGCGTCTACATGGAAGGCCATAGGATCTATCTTCCAACTGCAATAAACCTCTGTCTGTTTGTTCAGCCGATCTGCAAACAAATCCACTTCTATTTTGTTCCATATTGTTTGAATCTGAAGAACTACTGATGTGTCTAACATCCAATTCGAGGCATCCTTGTATATTCTCGATGCTCTGTCTGCTGCTAGATTCTTCACCCCTGCAATGTGAACGGCTGTAAGTATGATCTTTTTCTGAAGACAATATTCCCACAGTTCTTTTGTCTGATTTATCAACAGATTGGATTTCGTACCCCCCATCCGATTGATATGGGCTACAGTTGTCATATTGTCCGATAAAATCTGAATGTTGCAACATTCCAGCGTCTTGGTGTAAGATCGGACAGCTAGAAACACAGCTTTCAGTTCGAGAATGTTTATGTGGAGGAGGCTCTCTTCTGTACTCCATAGACCTTGGACAATCACTCCATTGCTCTCTGCCCCCCAACCTTTTTTCGAGCTGTCTGTTGCTATTATCAGGCTTGGATCTTCTATCGAAAAAGGTCTGCCATTCCACAGATCCATCTGAGATATCCACCACGATATCTCGGCCTTCGATTCCAGATCCAAAATTACTTTTGTCTGATAAGACTGGTTGTTGCATCCCAGAACATAAGTTTTCAACTTTTGAAGATAGCGATAATGAAGCGGAGCTGGGTATATGGCAATCGCTGACGCGGAAAGCATTCCTATCAACTGAGCTAATTGTTGAACTGTCAGATTGTCTTCCTGAAGGCAAGTTATGCATTTCTCTTTGATCTTTGCTGCTTTGATTGCTGGTAATATTAGGTTCATGTCTATTGAATTTATTGATACCCCCAGATATTCTATCTCTTGAGATGGAGTTAGAATTGACTTTTCCCAGTTTATGAGAAAACCCAGATATTTCAATATGTGAATCACAACTTTGCTCTGGTTGATAAGAACGCTTTTCTCCTGATTCATTAAGAGGATGTCGTCCAAATAGATGGCTATCCTGAATCCCATTTTCCTCATGTAAGAAATTGGAATCTTCAACATTTTTGTGAAAACCCTCGGACTCTGTGCAAGCCCGAACGGTAACGATGTCATTTCGTAACAATGATTTTCCCATATCATTCTGAGAAATTTCCGTTGATTCATCTTCATTGCCACGGCAAAATATGCCTGTCTCAGGTCTAGCTTCACAAACCAATCGTTTCGTTGAACCAGACATACTGTTGTTTGAATGGTTTCCATTTTGAAATGAACATACTTGATGTTCTGGTTGAGTTTTTTTAGATTGAAGATTGGCCGAAAGGACCCGTCTTTTTTGGGGGTCAGAAACATACTGCTTAAATATTGTCCTTTGACATTGTTGACTTTTACCATCACCCCATTGCTTATCATTTTTTGAATTTCTAATCCCAATGCTTGTTTTTCGTTTTCCGAAATTTTTGGCCAAACTGGGGCTCTGGTTTGAAATGGCTGTGAAATTAGATCTAAAGGTACACCCCTTACCATCTCTAGAATTACCTCGTCTGATGTCAGTTTTTCCCAGTTTCTTAGAAAAAAAGGTAATCTCGCACCTACCTGTGTCTCGCTTAACACTATTTCGTCTAGACCTAGATGACTCAAGTTTGGTGGGTGAATTTGAGAAAACAACATACCTATTGGATTTGTTGACATATCCTCTGCCTTTGCCTCTTGATGCGCCACTTGGGACAGTAGAGGTTCTTGTTGTGTTTGGGGCTGGCTCGCTTCTTCCCCTACCCCTGCCACCCGAGGTAGGGGTCTTTTGAAAGGGCTTGTCCCGATCTCCTCTTAGGGTACTCCTAATTTGTGACATTTCTTTCTTAGATTTTGATTCTTGTAAGAGCACTTTTTTCATCTTGTCCCCAAATAATTTGTCACCTGATTTTTTCAGAACGTCCATGTGTGTTTTCATGAGTTGTTTCGCTTTAATCTTGCTATAATTCACTACTGGGGATAAACAGGTAATACGTCTATAGTATGTTCCAAGCTGATGAGCTTGGCCCAGTAATAGCACTGACTTTTCAAGAAGTACTTTTAAATTGTCCAGATTGACCTTGGCTCCACTTTTCCCTTGTTCAATCAAGGACCACAACAGCCCTAAAGGGCCCATGACATGAGATAACTTGTCCTGTAGAGTTTTAAATCTATTTTCTTGATCTAACACAAAGTGGTTTTGAGAAAGATGCGTCATGAACTCATCTCTTTCTTTAGATTTTAACTCTTTGTTTTTGGGTACAGGTGTGTGTTTGAGAATTTTTTCCCGTATGTTCTCGTAAGGTAAAGTCTTCTTTAACCAAAACATCTTGACATATTTTGCTTGTTTGTCTGTTAGATTCCAATCCGACTTATCTGATGCTGTCGGATCATACATGTCGTCTAGACTGTCAGAATCAGAAGTTGTTGAACTACTAGAAGAAGAGGAGCTCGAGTCGTATTTTCTCCTTTTTGACTTCTTTGCTTTGTGCTTAGAATGGGAACGTTTTCTTTTCTTAGAGATGTTTCCCTTAGCTATTTTCTTGACAAAATCCCAAGACCTATGCTTTTTTGAAGTAGTGCTATCTTCACTATCACTGTGACTTGGTGAGTTCAACCAGTCTCGATCAGAATTTCTAGAACCTGAAGCACCGACATTGATCTGAGAATCATTATTATGTGTATTGGTCTGAGAACCATTTGCCTGATGATCAGGGGTTGGACTATTGTCCCTAGATCCACTAGATTTAGCCTGAGAGCCATCATGGTCTAGATTATCACTGTCTCCTGGATCAGCCATCACTGGCCAGAGACAGATAAGTACAGAAACAAACGAAAAATAAAATAAAATCACCTTAGATAACGGCTAAACTGCAAAATTTTCAAGTAGAAAAATTTGGCACGTGTAAAACGCCGAAGTTGAATTTATAGAAGAAGCGCGCGCATCACTTCCGGTTCCACCTTTTTAAAAAATTTTATTTTTTATTTTGGTTTAATAACTGGATTTTGCCTCTTCCTTGTGGAATGGCGATTTCAATGATGAGTATTTTATAAGCGATATGAAATTTTTGAAATAATTTCCGGAAATGCAGCCATATTTGTTTTACGCGGGGTTGGGAATGCGCATGCGTTGATCAGGACTCGGTAATGCACGAACTCCCATGCAGTGTCTCGGTATAGACACTGCGGCGGGCAGTTGAAGAAAATCCCCAAAACTTGGGGAAAATAGTTCCCCTTTTCATCATATATGTGGCCAATTTTCACACAACTTATAAAATATGTATTCTTGAATGTTCCCCGAACATTATTTTGTCAAAATATTTCAAAATTATTGAAATATGAGAAGAAATCACCGCGGAAGGAATTCTGAGTAAAAGTTGTGTTGATAATAGTTTACCGCACGTGTTGTTTATTAGTTAATACGCGCAATTCAACCAATGAAATTGTCTAAATTTTACAATCACGCGACCTGAGCATGGGACTAGAACCAATCACGTCAGTTGTTTATTACGAAGTTGCCATGCTTACGGTGAGATACCTGCCCGCCGCAGTGATATTATCACTGCACGGGAGTTCGGGTAATGCAAGTAAATTAGAAGTTCACTACTTATTTGAACACTTATTTGAGTGACTTTTATAGAGCTCAAAAGTATAAGTTATAAGTATTTTATTGACCAAAATATCCAAGGAACAAATTTCATGATTACGAATTGAAATTTAATGAACTATAAATTTTACACAACTGGGTCTTGTTGATCTACTTTCATGAGTGACGTCATTTCGGAATACCCCCTGTAAGACTCCAGGAAACCACCCCTGGGAAACCACTACTGAGCTGATACTTTGTGATTACCAGTTTTAGTTGTTTTGAAGGTTCATTGAGTACTGAAGTTTGGGCAGGTAAATATTATCATCATTCTTAAATGTCCAATAATGTGCTGTGTCTCATAAAAATTGTCAAATACGGTGATTGTCACCACAGGAACTTGTATCTCTTCTCAGCTTCAGCTTCAATGAATTCATCCTGGAAATTATTTTTCCAGTGGAAAATACTGAAAGTAAAATGTTGAGTCCAACTTTAACTCTATCTATTGGAGAGAAAATGGTCAGGTTACAAGTTGCCGCTGTACTTCCAGGTAGGCCACTGTAGGTGTCAGCTTTTGATACAAGTTCCTGTGATTGTCACAAGACGTTTAGTCTACAAAATCGAAGACAGGAAACACTAGCGCGAGCGATGGAGTCTCTGAAGGCACCATTTACAAATATATTAATCATCTTCACCCTGTGTGGATCTGTGTTCATTTCAATGCAAACTGAAGCAACCAATACAGGACTGAATGAAAGGATTCGAAAATTTCCAATGTCGACGAAGACTTTTGAAAGTGGATACAATTACAAAACTCATTATTTTGAAACAAAGGTGGACCACTTTGGATATGCCAATAAGGACACATTCCAGTTACGTTACTTGGTGAACGATGATCACTGGGATGAGCGATCTGGGCCAATCTTCTTTTATACAGGGAATGAAGGAGACATAGACTGGTTCTGTAATAACACAGGGTTTATGTGGGAGATAGCCCCAGAATATAAAGCAAAAATCGTGTTTGCAGAGCATAGATACTACGGCAAATCGTTACCTTATGGCCAAAAATCATACCAGGATCCAGAACATCTTGGTTACTTGACATCAGAACAGGCTTTAGCAGATTTTGCAGAATTGCTCCATTACATGCGATTCAAGAAAGATGGAGCACGAAACAATCCAGTTATTGCCTTTGGGGGCTCATATGGCGGCATGCTTGCTGCTTGGATTCGAATGAAATATCCAGCTTTGGTCGATGGTGCTCTGGCAGCTTCAGCTCCTATATGGCAGTTTACAGGAATTACCTCCTGTGGAGTTTTTGATGAAATCGTCACCAGAGATTTTACCAAAACTGGAGAATATTGTAGCCAAAACATCAAGAATTCCTGGTCTGTCATAGATCAGATTGGAAGTACTCAACCTGGAAGAGAGCAGATCTCAAATACGTTCCATCTGTGCAAGAAACTGTCATCTGTAGGAGATGTTAACTCATTCAAAGCTTGGTTAAGTGAAACCTGGGTCAACCTTGCAATGGTGGACTATCCATATGCTGCTAGTTTCCTGGCTCCGCTACCAGCTTGGCCAGTTAAGGTGACTTGCTCAAATCTTAATGAGAAAATAACCAGTGATAGGATCCTGCTGCAGCAACTGTACAAAGCAGTTGGGGTATATTATAACTACACTGGCCAGGCACAGTGCTTAGACACCACATCACAGGGATCTAAGAGTTTAGGAGATTACGGATGGGATTGGCAGGCATGCACTGAGATGGTGATGCCCATGTGCTCCACTGGTGTCTCAGACATGTTTCAACCAGGAGACTGGGATATCAAGGCTTACTCTGAGGGATGCGTCAAACAATGGGGCAGGGGGCCAAAGCCATATTGGATAGAAACTCAGTATGGAGGAGTCAACATCAACTCTTCTAGCAATATCATCTTTAGCAATGGAGATTTGGACCCCTGGTCAGGTGGTGGGGTAAGAAAGTCATTCTCATCATCTCTGGTTGCCATAGAGATCCAAGATGGCGCCCATCATCTTGATCTACGCAGCTCCAATAAAGACGATCCTCTTTCTGTGAAGAATGCAAGAAAGCTAGAGAAGGAACTGATCTGGAAGTTTATCAACGGAGCACCTAGCAAGAATTTTCCATAGTATATTAGGCTAGGAAGCACAATAAGCTCAGGTAAAACTAATATGAGGTCCAGGAAACTGGGCTTGTAAGACATGGCTATTGGCTACAATGTTATGTAATGTTGATGTGGAAAAGTCAGTTAGCCCTAGAGCTTGGTGATATATCACTCGTCTGGAAATCATTGGGTTTTGGGTTCGGCCAGCACTGTGGTGGACTGACTTTTTCACACCAGGCCTTAGCACAGGATCCAATTCTGTGTTTTCATTAACTACATTGAAACCTGTGTATAGTGAACATTTTTTTGCTAAGAAACGCTCAGTGTTGGTAGGTGTTCATTACAGAGAGGGTAATTTATTCATAAGTCAATAGAGTATGTGTAAAGCAAGGGTATCCACCAGAGACAGGTGTTCACTAGAGAAAGGTGTTCACTAAGACAGGTTTTACTACACAATTTTCGAAAGCATATTAAGCAAGGAAGCAGATAAGCAGAATACTTGAAACAATTTACAATGTGTGAAAATTCATTTACCTCCTTTTTAAAAGTACAGTAAATGTAGGTAACAAAATTTTCTCATCATTTTGAATATTGAATATTTATCAACCTTCACCTAATAATCTATGAATATTTGTGCACTCTGCAAACCTATCATATTTTCCCTCGGAATAAAATTCATATCCCATCTCTCCCATTAAATAACTTCTATATATTGTGCACTCTGCAAACCTGTAGACCATGTATTAAAAGAGTTATATGTACATGTACCTGGAAATAACATGGGACTCCCAATTAGGAAGCCATTAAAATTTTATATGAGTGGTCCGTATTTAAATCTGAATGACCAGAATGGCCATCTGCTTTCTAGAGAGGCAATGGAATGACAAGGTCATTGATGACAAGGTCATTGTGGATTGGCTTTTCTATGAAATAAGCAACCAATGGACTATACTTTAATTCAAAATACATGTAGTACTATAATGACAATTACCTCTTTTATATTATCCTTTTGCAAATTGTTAATGTAGATTTATAGTATGAGGCAATGAAGATACGTAACATGTCCATGTACAGTCAAAAAATCAAATTATATGGACAATACATTTATATCTTAGATGCAAAATATTTGAATATCTTGGATTACTTGTGGTTTGGCAAACAAATGTGCAACCTCTTCTATTTTGATGCTTCTCTAATAGTACTGTAGATTGGATTAATTTGGTGCCCGCTTTAATTTGGCGAAAACAAATGCCAATTTACATCTTCACCAAAATTTAGAGAGTGATCCCCAGGAATTTTGTCTGGTCGATATAGCAGTTGAATTGAAGGAATGGGGGTGTAACAATTTGCATTTTCTTCCAGTGTACATGCATATGGAATTTGTGGCGTCAGAGTAATGTCCAAGCCCTATATAGTGTCCACCAAATTAAATAGCCGCCAATTTGCCAAAAATGGCAAAATCACCAAATTAAGAAGCGCCAAATTAACCCAATCTACAGTATGTTATTTGTTTTAAAACATCATTCATTTTTCAGAAATGTAAATTGATCACCCTTTTTTCTTTGCTTCATTTCAGATTTGGTGCTTACAAGTGCAGTTTACATACAGATTAATACGATGCCAAAAAAGAAATCAAAGAATGAGAAAGTACTGGAGAATGAAGGAAGACCAACTGGATTAACATTTGCGGATTATATAACTGTGAAAGTACCAAAATCTAAGCCTAAACCAGACAATGCACAATCGAAAAATACAACTGATGTCCCAAAAGATGAAACTGTCACTTTAACTTGTGAAGCACCTATTAAAGAGGAAGCGAGTGCTGCAATAGCACCATCCTCTGCTACACTTGCAGGTTTCACTGATGCACAACCAAAAGACTCTGTACAAGAGCCAATATACCAGGTAAAGAGAACTAAAAAAGGACATATCCCAATTAGTGTAGAGAAGAGAAATAAAGGAAAGAAAGTGACTGTTATATCTAATGTAAGTGGGAACTTACCCATTCTTTTGTCTGAACTTAAACATGCTACAGGGAGTGGCGGAGTCATCAGAGACAATACTGTGGAAATACAAGGTGATCGATTGGACTTTATTGAAAAGTATTTACGGAAACAGAAGTGTTTGAAACAATGAATTTCACAAGTTTGATGTTAATTTGGGATAAATACTATAGGCTACAAGAAGTGTATTCATATATATATTGTCATTGATGGATTTATTTAGCTCATATACATGTATAATCTGCAGAGCATAACAAATACAATAAGATCTAGCTTCAGGGATTTCACTAGAATTTCTAACAACAGATGAAAACAACAGGCAAAATTAATGGAAATCATAAATTTAACATGGATAAGTTGAAAAGTTCTTAAAAACAACAGGTAATTTAGTAAAAACAACCAGTGAAAATCGCTTGTTGCCTGCTGCTAATGAAACCCCTGTAGCATCTAATCATAGCTTGATATATACAATACTTGCTTTATACAATATATGTACAACTTGAATTAAGAATACAATATACAACTGAGTATAGTTTTAAAATGCTTTCATCAAACATATTACAAATGGTGTCATATACAATCATTGGCCTATAGAGAGGAATTATATTATCACATCACTAAAACAAGCCCACAGGTTGAGTTTTACATTGTTAGTGGAGTGATATGATCTTGGCAATCAAATTGTAAAGAAATTATAGATTAAGTCTAACCTACTTGAACACCTAGGTTAATATTTTCGCCTCCGATTCATTATTTTGACATTATTCAAAAAAATATTAACCAGCTCCATTGTGGAATCAATAGTCACCTCAAAATGTAATGGTCACAATGTACCCAAAACGCATATTGCCAAGTCACACTACCCTCTGATATTTACAACTGATTTTGTAGTTGTGATCACAGGCGCAGGAACATAGAAGAGTAGAGGAATCCTGAAGAAAGGACTCTATCCCTGCCTCAGCTGTGCATATCATGGAACATTTTTATGAGTCACAGGTGGAGGAGGTACTCTATTCTTCACATTCTTCTCCAGTTCGATGTACATGTGGTTGTGATGATGAAAATATACGAATGATTTAGTTATGCAAGAATGCTGTTCATTTTTACAAGTTTGGAAGTGAAACAAATTTTAACTTCATAGGCAGAAAATTTATTTTGTGTTTTTATTGTCCATATTCCAATTAAATATATAGGCAAGATTAGAGAATTATTGTATATGAAGTTGAACTCTCGTTAATAGTCAAACGTTCCGGCGCTTAGGAAATACTCGGTAAATTAATGTTTATTAGTGGTCTACATATACAAATGCAACTTTAGTGAATATAGATACATTAACCAATACATTACAAATAATAAAAACAATAAACAACATTCTGTCAAATGTCATAGCAATGAGCTGCCATTCTTCCTTAATGTCTTCTGCTCGTGATTTCTCCCTATTCCTTGTTGTGATCTCCTCATGAAGTAAAGCTAGAACACAGTTGATATTCTGCATTTGATGTCCCAGAGAATCCTGTGAAACTAACATATCCATGTCACCGTTTCTATTGTCATATACTGTGTTTAAACTGCTTGCATGAAATGTTCCATTTTTTTCAACACCGTCAGTGCCATCTTTTGACTCATTCTGAAAGTACATGAAGGTATTCATTGATTTCAAAATGAATGTTAAGTTAAAAATAATTTCTTACATGTGATATAGCAAAAGTCAAGTCCAATATGAGAAAATCAAGATGTTTCTATCAGAAAACTTTAGGAAAATGGCTGCCCTAGCTAAAAAACCTTAAACTTTACAAATCAATTCTCAGTATATTTTAAGGGGCCATTAGGCAATGGCAAAGCTTTAATGTCACCATTCCAAAGTCAGGGGCATTGCCAGGATCTAAAAATAGATGAGGCATCTAATAAGGTGGGGCAAATTAAGGCTTATAGAGTTATAATGCTACCAATTCACTTCAAATCCCCAGTTTCTGGTACAAAAACATCCGAATGAATACACTTCTATAAAATGTTGGTGAGGCATCTGCCCCACCTACCTCATACTTGGATATGCCAATAGAAGTGGTGACATTTTGTTATTATAGCCTTCATTTTTGTGATCAGCATTCAAAATTCAGTGGTTGGCATTTGTAACAAATTGTTACAATTTTGTAACTAATTGCAGTAAGGGAAATTCACTCACCACTCTGTCCTTGGGTTTTCTCTTGATATGGAGATAATGTCCTATGTAGTCAAGGAAGATTACTTTCAGCCACTTAGGGGTAGGTTTGCCATGCTCACCCTGGTAGTGGATGTTTAAGATTAGAACTGTCACAGATGTACACACAGACAGCAGAACTATGGCAGCACCAAAGAATTGAGCTGAAAAAATTATAATCATATTCGGTGGATCAAATATATGATGGCGTACAAATGTTATGTACTGTACATTGTACAAATGGTACTGGTTTTAAAAATATATGAACTTTAAAAATTCAGTTGAACTGTCAACTTCATGTAGATAATGTTATCATTTCCACAAACAACTTAATTACATCTTTTTTGATGTGCTATATCTCATTTAGTTATGTCTTATCACATGCAGTGTCAAAAAGCAAGTAGCAGTCACATTTTGTGTTTGGGTCACTTGTTGTATATTTTATGTTTATAAATGTTTGTGGCAAAAAATGTTTGTATTTATTTAACCACCCCATCCAACAAAACATGTAATTTGATTTATCAAACTTGGCAAATCATTGTAACTATGAATGCACTTATAAAGGGTACACTTGCAAATACCAAATTTCTTCGGCCATACAGGGTGGCCAGAAGTGCAGCAATTTTTAGACACTCTGTATATTCATAATAACACTCACCTAACAGAGGTACCACCTCAGAAGTGGGTGGCATGTTCTCAGATATGAAGTTCAGGAATACAGTCATCGCCAGGAGCAATGTCACAGCTAAGGAGGCTCTCTCTCCTGACTCTGTTGGCAGACAGAACACAAGGACTGATATCAACATAAGGGGAATACAGGGGAAGAGTTGGTTATATAGGTAGAAGTTGGGCTGTCTCCTAACAACCACTGTATACCTTACTTCAACATAAGGATCGGGACAACAAGGATAAAGAACCTCCTCACGCTCAACTGGAATCCCCTGTAGATCCCAAACACCATGGATTACAAATGGACCTGAATTACCTTCAGGCTCCCCATATGTTAAATTGATGAATCGAATATCACTTGTCCAAGGCGACAAAACAATGGTACAGTGCTGCTCGTCAAATGGGAAGTTTTCTACATTTATTTTACAGGAGATCTTACACAGCGATGATGTCAACCAGTATACAGTACCATTGGGGTAGACTTTGGCAGGAGTGTCTGAGAACAATTTCATTGCAGATTTAGAGTCATCCACACTGAAATGAAACAAACTTATGTTAAGAATATTGATGATCTGATAAAACAATCAAGTTTAATCTTACTTAATTCTATCATTTATTCATATACGTTTAATGCACAGCTGTACATGTAAAATATTTCCACTTTGGAAATGTAGCTAAGATAGTTAGACAGAGACGAGTCAGTAGTGCAGCACAAATATAACCAAGAAACATGTATAATTAGAAGAGACAGTCAGCCTCTGGTTGGACATCTTTGATAATACACTAATTAAATATGTTCCTGGATCAATGAGTTCACCTGTAGATGAATTAACAGAATAAGTTCTATTCATGTCTTACTTGTTTACTATGGTTATATCTGGTTTCCATATGTCTCTAGATGGCACCTGTATTTCTGCAAGGCCTTCAAACTTATCTTGGTCCCAGGTCAGGTGCTCGTCTATCCAACTCTAGAATGTAGCAATAAACTTTGGTAAAATCATGGGCTTTCAAAAGAGCCCATGATAAAATATAAGCACAAATACAGATGAATATTCACATATATTCAAAGAAATTCCTATTAAATCATAAAAAAACAAAAATACACTCATACATGTGTGAATTTGTGGAAACTTAGATGTTATCATGTGCCAGCCCACCCTTTATTGGCTCAGAAGCATTCTAGCCTCAGCTGGAAACATTAGTCAAATATAGTCTTTTATGGCCTAGTCACATAGCCGGGCCGATGAGGTTCCGATGAGCCAGCGATGCAATTTTCACCGAACTCGGCCGGACACCGGCCTGACATCCGTGGCGTTTGTTGCTTAAAACCACATCGGTGGCAGCTCGGTGAAATTTTAACTTCGGAGTTAAATTTCACCGGGCTCTCACCGAGCTCCCTCATCGCAGCCCCATCGTAACCACATCAGAACACACGTCAGCCGGTGCACGGCCGAGTATCGGTCGGTGTCCCGTGCATCTGAGACAACCAGAGGACGAGGTTTTTTTAACGGACACCGGCCGAGCTCCGACCGAGCTCCGGCCGATGTGGGACAGAGCCTTCGAAAGTATAGTACCGGAAGATGTCCGGACGGAGTCCGTTCACGTCACCGAGCTCTGCTTCCGATGAGGAGAGCTCGGTGGCACCAAAAAAATCCACCGAGCTCTACCGATGCCGGACATCGGCCGGGCTATGTGACTAGGCCATTAGAAGAGATATGCCTGAAATTACCTAATAATGGCCTATAATACAGTATACTGATCAATGGAGTAAGCCAAAACATAAACCAGTGAATCAATACCATGTGGCATAAGCTGCAACTAATAAGTAATACTATACATAAGTAATAATGGGAGCAGTATTGTTCAGAGAGCAATCTCCTTTGGGAGACATGATGGTCCTAATGTTTTTTTTACTTTTACTACTGTCTGTGAATCTTGGGGCACATCTTTGGATCTTGAGTGGGGGGGGGGGAGCTTTTTGGACAAAACACTCTTGGACTGAAAACTGGGAGAAAAGTCAAGCATTGGTTAATGAAAACATAGCCTTTGTTTGTGTGTCTGGTTGTATTAACCAGATTTAAGAAAAGTATTGAGTCCAGCTGTTTCAGGAATATATAACATGTATAAGGTATTCTGTTTGGGATAAAAATACATCCAGGCATATTCAGACCTGAATTTATGTTGAGACAATCAAGTCAGTTGCCTCATTCAGATTTTTGCAACAACGTTTTCTTTAAAATTTGCCTTTTTCTCAAAATGCCTTACAATTCGTTGATCAATCATTGATTTGACATAAAAATTACTTTGTCTCAATAAAATCTGGACACCAGGTTCAGACCCGATGTCCCTTACAGGTATTTGATAATTGTCAGTGAATGTTGGCTCACTTACCATTCTAACCCACAAACTCATATGTAGAAACTGACTCTTCTCACTCTGAAAGACAAAACATTTAATGTAATGGTCACATAAACATCTATCCTCATGCTATCAACTGATCAACCTGCATTAAAGGAGCAACAATGACGAAAGACTATTTGACTACTGTAACTTTTTACAATTTAACAATTTACAATTTTACTTTTGGTTACAATATTCCTTGTCAATTTCATAAAAATCCTTTTATTTACTTTTTTAAGTTATCTGGAAATAATTCAAGATGGATGTCCTCCTTTTCAATTCTAATGAATTTGGACATTCCTGTATATAAATCTTTAATTACTTCATTTTAATTATGTCAGGCTTGCAAGGGAAACATTTGCATGTTTTGAGGAAAAATTAACTCCAACAATTTGCACTCTAGTCTTTGCTGCCTCTTTAATATTCAAACCCAATTAATTTTTAAATTGGTGGACTTGAAGAAAGATATTCATAGTTGGTACAATATTTCAATTGGAACAATCCATAACAATTCAGAACATACTTTTCCTCAGTTTTGAAAAGTACAAAAGTATATAAATGTTAGATGTTTGTACCAATTTATTTCAACAAGTAATGAAATATTATTATCATGTAGCATTAAAGACAGGATTAGAAATAATACAAAATCACGAATCCAAACACCTAGTTTGAAAATTGATCCATAATCCCAAGGACGTCTATCTCTTGATAATCCCATCGAGGTTTCTCAGTAATTATGTTGAAATGGCAATTAAGTTTTACCCCCTTAATTGAATACAAGTGTCAATTTCATGTATATTGCTTTTGGCATCTAGAATGTTCATTCTAATGTCTAAGAGGGCAAGTAGAGTTTAAAAATATAGTTTTTTCACTCAAATATTATTTTTCATGACTGGGAAACCCTTTTGAGACATTTATTGAAAAATGTGACTTTTGGAAAAAAAGTTGTTCATCATATAATTTTAAAATTATCAATTTCCCACCATTTTAGAAACAAAAGTTTTCAATTTTTGATCATCAAATACAGGGTGGTAAAAAAAATGGAAACCCTGAATTTTCCTCATATCTTCGTCATTTTGGGGAATTATTCGCTGAAATTTGACACACATGTACAACATTCAATTTCCTACCAGCTAACCATATTTCATGACCATCAGATTGGTAGTCACAATGGTACAGCACTTTGAACAAGATGCCCCAGTGTGGCCACCATCGCATTATTGGCAAATCTGAACAGGTTGTCAATGATCTGACTACATTTTTCAGCAGGTATGGCCTGAATGACATGGATGATCTGCTTTTTGAGGTCTGCAGTTGTCCTGGGGTTATTCTCGTACACTCTTTTTTGGTGTATCACCACAGGTTGAAGTTAGGTAGGGACATTTTGGATGATAGGTGCAGGTTTGCCGAAAGTGCAATATTGGCCAATGGAGCATGTTGTTTAAAGTGCTGTAACATTGTGACTATCAATTTGATGGTCATGAAATATGGTAGGCCGGTAGGAAATTGAATGATGTACAAATGTGCTAAATATTAGGGAGTAATTTCCTTAAATGACAAAGATATGAGGAAAATGGCAACAGGGTTTCCACTTTTTTTTGACCACCCTGTACAACACTGAATATTGCAAAACACATTATTTTTTCAACTTCATTGAATCGATCAGGCAAAAGTCATATTATTTCAACCATTCAATCTCTGATTTTATGCATATTTAAACTTTTAAAGCATTTTAGTTTGTGATGTCATGATGATTCCCTGTGATGTCACTCAGTGATGTCACTCTTTCTTATAAATGTACAAATATTTGCTATGTATGCCAAACTTTCAAAACAAAACAATAATGATTAAATCTAGATTAAACACAAAAAGGTTAGGATATACATTGGTGTGATATGCATTGGTGTAAATTATTACTTAACAAGGTATATGTGTGACATTTAAAATTTTAATTGAAATAAATTCACAATATTTCAAGATCAGTATCTTGAAATCGATTGAAAAGTTTCACATAGCACATTTTGATAACATTTGGTACTTTACGTAACATTACACTTATCTAATTATTAAAATTATACAAATACTGTATAACAAAATTACATACCAGTTCTACTATTTGATGAAGGTCTATGTTAACTTCAACTTTTACTGGTTGAGACTTCTGAAAAATTGGTCTAACTGATGTCCTGTAACTCTTGAAAAGCTTGTTGAATAAACGCTTCTCTGGGTCATTCTTCTTAGGATCTTTTTGCACAGATTGAGAATCTGGAAGAACAGGCATTAGTTGAATTTCAAATAATCTATCAGATTCAAAAGTTTAAAAAATTAATGTATTTTATATTACATAATTTATCATGTTTAACATAGAAAAAATCTTATATAATCAATACCTGTTAATGTTATAAGCGTCAGAATTCCAGCTATCCAAAAAAGGAATAAAGCCCTATAATCCATATTAATCCACCGAAGATGCTATAATCAAATATTATCCAAAAGTGATCTCTTCATTTATCCCTAGAACATAGTTCTATCACATTTGATTTCATTTATATTAATATAATATGTAATCCATACATCTCAGGTATGTTTTCCATAATTTGCAATTGCAAATGCAAATGCAAATATGCCAAGATATAAATGATAACAGCATATAGCATGTTCAATTGCCTGTTTATCTATTTCATCAGCCTAATTGAGATGGGCATTTAGGATCTGTATATCTTGAGTTTCACTGAGAAGCCCTGTGGTCCAGAGTGCTGGTTTAGGATAATATTAACACAACTGAAGCCAAATGTGGATTACCAGAAATTTCAAATTAGTAGAGATTTACAGTGGAGATATATCATTGCAAATCATATTGGGAGTGTTATACTAGCCAGAAAGTACTGAAAATCTAAAAAAAATCACATGCAAGATATTTTCTTGAATTTATGTTTCATTTCACTGTAACCTAAATCGTAAAACAAAAAATACCGGTTGTCTTCACAAAATTGCTTGTTGTTTTTAGAGACTTCTCAACTTTTCCATGTTAAAGGTCTAAGTGCAGTATGGCAAGTGGTTTTAGACGGTCATATCTTTCACCCTTTCTGGGCATAAATACAGTGTTTTTTTTATTAAAACAACATGTTTTCTTTCAAGTGAAGTCCCCATGATGATAAAAATATACCAACCGCCAACCACCAACCGCCGTCAAAAAAACAGAGACCACATCAATATGTCACCACTTTTTGGTGGTGACATAAAAATTATTTAATTTTCCTACAAGGTTTCACTTTACACTATTGTATGGTAATCTTTATTTACCTCTTATATTACGACTACCCTAGCTGTCTATAATACATATAGAAGAAAAATACAAACAGCCACATTATTTTGGATTCAGATTTTAAAATTCTTAATTCTTAAAGATTTAAAGAGTTAATTTGATGAAATAAATATATATGTACATTTATATGTTGTACATTTCCAACAACCATTGATGTTTGAACTTAAGAAAGGTTCCAATCATAGGTGGACAATAGATATGAATAGACAAGGCATTAACATGCAAAATGTCACCACCTGCCATTTGTTACAGATACTTAACACTGACCTCTGATGCCAAACACCAACCATTTAACACTGACCACAAGTTGGACAATAACAATATATCACAACTTCTGATGGTTATATAACAAACCACTCCTGTCCTCTTTCTATTGATGTTGAGACTATGGTCCATCCTAGATAATGCAATAGGCCTTTCAGACATTTTATCATATATTCCCAAAGGAGTGGTATCGATATGGAGAACTGAATTCAACAATGTTTTTCTCTTAAACCAATCATTGAAAACATTCTGTAAAAAAACACGGTATGTTATGTAATGTGACTGATTGACAACAATTTAATGCGAAAATTATTTTATATAATTGTTTTTGCTCCTTTCTACCAATTCTTGAAAATGAAATAAAATGTCTTTCCGAACCTTGTTGGAACAAAATAGCATATACAACATGTTTTTAGACCTCTCAATATTATAGTTATACAAAGGAATTTTTGGTTGATTTTAAAAAGTATTCAAAAAATTAAAACAAAATCCTCAAAAATAGATAAAAATCAAGATAAACCCTTTATTTCATTAACAAGATACTTTTTTAAAATCAACCAAAATTTCCTTTATACAATTACAATATTGAGAGACCTAAACATGTTGTGTTTATGTCGTTTTGTTCCAATGAGGTTCGGAAAGATGTTTCATTTCACTCTGGAAACATGATACCAAGAACAAATGTGTTTTATAAAACAATAGAGATGAAAGTATTTGTATATATTTAAAATTATATCGTTACCATTCAAAAGATGACCATTAAATTGACGATGTGTAAAATTTTTAGATTTTTTTTATGACTGGTTTAAGAGCAACGTGTGTTCAAAAAGTTCTCCATATCAATACAACTCCTTTGGAAAATATACTGCAATTCCAGTGTATGTCGGATTGCCTCTTTTAAAAGAAAACACCTTCACCAACAAATTGTACAAGAAGTACAATAATACTTTTTCTAAGCCAATGTTTCTGTTCTGGTTGCTATAACCTGCTAAAATTGACACTGGAACTATTTAGGTGCAACAGAACGAAAAATACCATGTCCAAATGAAATGATACTTATTTATGTATTCAACTGGTAGGAGAAATCCTTCAAATGCTAGCAAAAGGCTGCATTTCTTGAAATGCATGAAACAAGATTTTTCAGAGCCCCCCCCTTTATCTATTGCTTGAGCAGTCTGCTCCAAGTGATAGTATAGGCTGGGATCCCAGATGTGGATCAAAGGGATTGGTCCATAAAAAGTATCTGTAAAAAAGTGTCCATTACTTATTGATCACCCCTCGTATATGCAACATACATAACTTGAGACAATTACACAAGTGAGCAGTACTTGTTATCTGCCTCAGATCAGCAGGTAGGAACATTCTGACTAGGTGTATATTTGTCTTGGAGTAATGTCAGGGGAATAATGAGCAAATAAATACAAACAAACAGTTGCCTTAATACATTCCTGGGATGTATATAGTACATATCCATCCCATAACCAGATATTCACATAATAACTGTGGCCTTCTGCAAGTGAAACATGCTTGTAGATTCTGCATCACGAAGATACAGCTGAGTTTAACCATTTGTTAATCGTACCACATGTTTCATTAGCCAATTACCTAATTTTAACCATTTTCTGCACACTGAAAACAACTGGCAAATAATCAGTAAAGTAAAACCTGTGTTGGTGGAACATCTCTTGAACCTCAAAATAGTGTTCCACCTGAGAAGTGGTATTTATGGAGATGTTCTAATAACAAAATGTTTAACTTTAACTTTACAGGTTTTCCTGTATTCAAGGAATGGGCAAAATAAGACAAGGGAATAATGATTTCAGCAAAATGTGATGTCCCGATTTATTACCAATTATACATTACATTGTACATGTTTTGCCAGGAGTATTATGTGTGGAACACAACAGGTGTGTTCTTTCTATGAGTGAAGAACTAGATCAAGTCAATCAATTGGTAAAACCTATAGGGACCTCTATGTGTTATAGAAAGTTTTGTGGGCTCGGTGATCTATGGCATCATGGTCTCAAAAGATAAGTATCCATGGTTTTGTATTTAGTTGACACAAATGGGCCTTACCTCATTCAATTCAGAATACAATAACTGGGAGGGATTAAATATGGGTTACATACTGAGAGCCAATATATTTCCCGAGGGACCATGCAAATACTGAAGAAAGTGTTTAACCCATATTCAATTCCCGACCAGGAAATAACCATTCTTTACCATGATATTAATTGATATTGAAACAGTCTTTTTCCTAATAAACATTGTGGTGTACATTGAACAAAAAAACATTGGAGAATAAAATACAGTCAGTGAATATTCACTACAGGAATGACCAGGTGAATTATACATTAGATTACATTAGATGATTCAAATTCAATTATATCCCATTGTGTTATTCACCAGGAAGTAATATTATCATGGTATAAAGGAGCACGTGGGTTATCGCAAACAATTTCAGAAGGTTATATCTTGGATTATGACTATTTTCTGACAATGAAGACAAGTTTATCTTTTAGATCAATTCATTTTCTTAAAGAAAATTATGCACAGTAATAATAAAGTCAAACAAACTCGGAGATATTTAACTAGCAATCAACCCAGCAACACACTTTTTCAAAGATGTTGACCCCATTTTCACCAAAAATCATTTTTTACAATGTTTAATGCATTACTATTCTTTATTTTGATGTATCAAATAGTTCTTGAAAGAAAAACTTAATTGCTTTAAGATAAGTGTTCCCCATGGTATTTCTCCATTGAAAAATATCATGCTATCCATTGGTTTTAGTTCATTTTGGTCATCCAAATTCAGTATCTTTAAAGTCCCCGGAGCAATCAACTTTTCCTTTTAGGATATCAAACACGTCTCAAAGCACATTCTAATTATGCATTCAACAATATAATAAAAGGTTGCATTTTTGATAAAAAATAGGTCAACATTTTTAAAAAAGTATGTTGATTGGTCCATTGCCCCTTCAATATCACTTAGGTCTGATTAACTTAATTATCATTATATACTTTTCTTGAAGATAATGAATGGCTCTAAAAGATACACTCATGTTCATGATCAGAAAATATTCATAATTAAAGTTAGAATCGTTTTAAATTGTTTGCGATAACCTACGTGCTCCTTTCAATATTCATCAATTGAGGGTAATAATAGAGCACATTTCTTCCACCAGTATAGCTCATTGGTAGAGCACTTTATATATGATGCAGTGGCCTTGGGTTCAATTCCCAGTTCAGGCAAGACTAATTTGCTTGTTACATTCAGGATGTTTGAGTGAGCGATTTTGCAACACAATTATGTTTGAAAATTTGATTTTAAACATTGTAAAATGTTAGATATATAAATTCTTTCTTTCAAAGATGTTTTAAAGTCATCAAGTAGTAGTTATAGTTTTATGTCTATTTGATCTATAAATGAATCTGCAAGATAGTACTATGTATGTTAGTATATTGAAGGAGCTAATATCAATTTAGACCCCAATGTTTATTCTGCAAGTTGTAATAATCCATTGGTGCATTAGATAGCATCAGTATGTCCTCTAGGGTATGGTGTTTAAACTGCTTCTTTATTCGGTACATTAAATATTCCATAAATACCAAATAAAACAAACAATTTACCAAACCTTTACCAAATCTATCGAATGTTTTTTATTTTATCGAATGTAATAATCTATACAATTTATATTCGCTAAATAGTTTCACTTGTTCTTTGTGTTGGCATTCACATTTGATATTTATACACAGTGTACATGTATTTGTGTGATGCAGCGAATCTATTTGTTTTCCTTAACGCACGTATAATTCAATTAATTATTTGTACATTCGGTATTTAAATTATTTATATTCGGTAAATACCGAATGCCACATTCGATAAATTTCGTTATTTTTCGATACTTTACGAGACTTTCAGTCACGTGATATATTTGAACGATGTAGAATAGCTGCGCGGCCATTTTGCAAATCTCGAGGCCACGTGACAAATATCGAACAACAACGAAAGTTATCGAATATTACTTTATTGCATTCGGTAAATAGCAAATTAGCTTTCGGTAAAATGCATTAACTATGTCATAGAAAAATAAATCATTCGGTAAATATAGGCAAACTTATTTTGGTAGGGTTCAAATAGAAATTCAATATTGTGCATATAATGTGTTACTCTTAAGGAATACCTTGACAATTTACGCAAAAAAACATATCATTTAGCGAATGAAATATGTAATTTAATGCACATAGTATGAAGTGATTGGCTATTTTGAAAACTTAATTTGCTGTAACAAACACATAAACGTTTTTACCGAATGAAAAATGATTTAGCGAATATTAATATTTCATATATCGAACATATTTGAATTTAATGAATAAAGAAGCAAAAATAATGCCATACTAGGGTTCAGTTAAACATATTTATTCACTAATCAATCACCACAAGACTCAACTCATTGAATAATCCATTAGTCAAGTCAAAGCTATATATCTATAAAATCCTGTACTTTTTAGTGTTTTCATCTCATGCAGTAGTATATACATCACTGCATTATAATGTAATACTGGCAATTGTCAAAACTGGTGGGAATTCAATTTCTGAAATTGACTGTTGATTCGAGTAGAGCCATATTATGGATGAAATGTTAACATTGTTTGGCAGTCTATGCCTCATTTAGGGAAGATGTCTGCTGTCTCATGTGCTGCCAATTGTTATCGTAAACTGCTCTTTCCTGCATTGACATCTGGGGGGAGACCAATCCTCGCTCGTGTACAACTTTGGCACTGTAATAAAATATTGTTTCACACTTGTTAGATCTATTGTACACAAGATTTAAAATACGCTGTACAGTATATGTATGTGGACTATGTGTTAAATTGGGTTCTACAAGAGTAAAATGTTTTTTCATTATATGGTTTACACTTGACTTTCGTGGCATGTGTTCTGATTAAATATTAAGTACATATTCTTCTTTTATTGAGATTAACTAATTTTGAACATGTGTTCAGCTGGGTGCGATATCTTTTAACTTAAATCTTTAAACTCTCAACTTAACTTAAATTCCAATTACCAACTGTATTCAAATTCCAACAAGGTTCAGAGTTCTCAACTGTAGCTAACTAAATCGTGTTGCTCCAAGACTGAGCGATGTCACTAGAACAACATCATTTAAATCACTCACTTTGGTTTTCTCAGTAGTACACAGTAGATGACTGTTATGATGATACACACAGCTACAACCACAGCTAGAGGTATCCCTATGTAAAGACCCATGTTCTGAGGCGCCTGGGGGGAGTTGTCCACAGGGGGTCTCCCTGTCTCTACCTTGTCTGTGGGTGGGGGATTGCTGGGGGTTGTACTCAGTGTGCTCGTCTCTACTGGACGTTCTCTACATCTTATATCTGAAAATAACCAAAATGTTTTGAAATTATCATAATTTAGTGGTAATTTTTTGAGTTTTTGTCTCATCTCCTGAATTTGAATTCAATTTTCACTTTCAATTCATTTGGACTTCGTTTAACCCATTTATGTCAAACCATGCAATGCCATCTATTGCATATCAATTCCATTTAATAAATAAAATGTTTTTGGTGAGCTGAGATCGTATTTTTTCTCTATAATTAATCAAAGTGTCTATTTTCCGTGTGTTATTTTAATAGCATTGTTGTCCTTATTCAAAACATGACTGCTTTGGCAATAGCATTAAGTCTCCTACCAGTACCTACCATTAGTATTGTGTGTCCACTCCTCTCTGTTCTGTGCAGGTTCACAAACTGAGCAAGGGTCTTCTCCTTTCTGGGCACCTTTCATATAGCACTGGTTCTCAATGAAACAATGGTTATCCTACAAGAAAACAAAGGACAAATTTTATTTGTTTATTACATAAACAATTACAGTGCATCTATTTGAAACGTTTTACAAGTGGGTTGCTATCCATCAAAGTTTGGTAGTAGACCCAGGGTAGGAGATTTGCATTTGACATAACAACTATACAGTTATAGATGTTTGGCATTTCTGAGGCAAATCTATGAATAAGCAGATGTTTTATTAATTTCAATTTTATGTTCACAATTTTATGTTCACAATTGCCACCAAATTCAAGGGTTCAGATATGCCTTGGTACACGTGTCATTCCAAAATACAATATCATTAACACAAAAAGACTGAATAAATGATGGAATAATGCAGAAAAACCGACTATTTCATTATCATGGTTACTAGTACACATAACTGACCCAATATTCAGCAAAATTAAAAGTGAAATTTGACACTTCGAAGATATATAGAGATTATCCTATATGAGGTTCAGGATATTGGGATTATCCCGAGGCCAATATACTATATCTGCCCGAGGGCCGTAGGTCCGTAAAGTTTTTACAAACCGGCTCCATGTACCTGTAACGGTTCCAAGTATGGGATAAAAGAAAATATGACCCATCTGTGAAAATATACCAATTTGGCAATGTTGTCCATTACTTTTGATTTGAATCACCCTTGTAGGAAGAAATATATGCAAGAGTAAGAAATGAGACTATTGTAATAAAAGATCAACAAACCTTGAAGGTCCAATCAAGCTTGTTCCTATTGGAGTCACAAAGAATACATTGAACTCTGGGTTGAATTGTTTCACCATTTCTGAAGCACTCCCCTTCAATGTGACAGCTTTCTTCCACCTGGAAAAGTGGAGAATATAAACAGTGTAGCATAACAAGACACAACATTTTCAAATCAAAGTTCCCCAAGTGTGAAATTCCCTGGACAAGTGCATTGTTTTTTATTTACAAAAAATTAAGAGACAAATAGCATGTTTGCTGACTGCATGGATATTTCACTCAATTCAAATTTTCTAACTTTATCCTGACCTTTCTCAGGCTTTTAATGTAAGATATTTCAAAATCTCAAGATCCTGGTCCTGTTGTTTCCTAATAAGGGATAACTCACAGCCCCTGATATGGAGGCCCAACACATGAGTAACATACCTGGCTCCAAGCAGTCGTATTTCTAGCTGTGTCACACACAAAGCAAGATTTCTCAGGGTGTCTCTCTCCAGGGTTATAACATTGCTCATCTATGACACAGATGTCAGTCTGGAAAGGAGCAACAATACTAAAGTAAAAATTAGATTTTTGAATGAATTATCAGATTGAAAACATACATATTGTTGTAAAACATTTGAAATAAATATCAAATTACCTTCCATCTGCAACTGCCAGTCTCATTACATATGTGACATTTAGAGTCATACACTGTCAGGAATAACTCCTGTTTGCTGAATGTTATCCTGAAAGACAAGGAATTACATCAGGGGTTTATCCTTAATACACCAACAAGGCAACTAAGGCATTAACGTGTAAAATGTCACCAATTTGTTACAGACACCAAACATCAAGCACTGAACACCAAACACCAACTGCTGAACACTGTCCACAAAGTTGGAGACCATAAAAATATGTAAACACTTGTGGTGGTGACATAAAAATCAGACTAAAACTTGAATAGCTTAGTTTCGAACCTCATTTTCTGTCCACATAATAAGAAAATTAATTTACTTTTAGAAATTATATGTGGTACCTGCCAAATGTGTAGTCTTGCCATCACAACGATACAATTCATAAAACATACTCTAATGGTACATATTCCATATTTGGGGCAAAAATGTTTCTCTTATTATAATAGTGTACCATCAGAATTGACCTTTTTGGCCCACCCTGTATATTTATCATCAACCTACTTGTCATTGCTGACTCTGATGAAGGCCCCATATGGTCCCATACTGCGTCTTATGCCAGGGGTCTGTCTGAAGCCGTCTACTTCTAGGAGGGGGCAGCTGATCAGGTCATTTTGCTCATACACACCTGGGAGGTAACTGGTCTCAGCCACACGTTCTATAGCAATAGAGGTCACCTGAATCAAAGATATGTGATTTTAGACCAAATCTGTGAAAATGCTTATTTTTGGTATATCAATAATGACATATGGAATTATGAAACAAATGTTTTAAATTAAAACATGACAAAATCTGGTAAGTTATTAAAAATGTTACAAAAATGTAACACCTTGTTACGGATGCTGAACACCAACCAAACACACCAAATGGCAATAGCTGACTGAATGGGTGGCTATTAACAATATACCAGCAAGGAGCAGAAAAGTTTTGTTTTGTATACCACAAACAATATAAATAATGACTCAGTCATGCAGCTTTATGAAGACTGATAATGATTTTGAAAGTCAAACACAACAAACAGATCATTATAGTACACGTATATATATTATTTACCAAAGCATATTCCAGTTGGCAAGTCAGAGTCTCAGCTTCTAGGAAATTCTCACCCGCAATTGGGGTTGAGAGACATGGCCGTTGCTGTATGTCACATAGCGCCCTCTGTGGGATGTTGTAGATCTCAGGGGGCTGCGTTGAGTTGACGGAACAATCTAGACCTTCGAAACCTTCATTGCATTGGCACTTTCCTATAATGTAACAGGAACATAAACTGAATTTAATTCTTATTATTAATTGTGTCAAAATAATTGGATTGATTATAAGCAGACAAGTGTAGTTTTGAGGGCCTAATTTTGATTTGATTTGATGAATTTTTGTCAAAAAATTTTCTACCTTCAAAGCATTTCCCCTGTGTGCTACACTCCCCAGGGCACAGATTGTCTGTGACATCCTTGGGTGGGGCTACGACACCCTGATTATTTGGTACCCAATTGGTGACATTACGGCTCATGGAGTTCCCACACTGGGCCTGTAGGTTGGTCAATGCCTCAACTGCCCACTCAGTGTTTGCTGTGATCTAAGAAACATATCATCTCAATACATATTTAACATCAATACTTTACATTCAATATAGTTTTTGCACTTCAGTTCTTCTCCCGAGATTAAAATATTTGAGTCTCAACATTATTCTTGAGAGGCTTGGTCAAAATCTCAATGTTTGTCAAACAAGAAGATTAATTTTAAACTTTATCTATTTGACTCTCATATTGCAAAAATCAACAGTATCACATAACAAATTATCGATAACTTTGATTCTTTCGGCAAAATAACATTAATTACACCGTTTGAGACACTGATATATTCACTGAACCCCCGACTACTGACATCATCTATATAAAGCACTAATTCACAAAGTCCACCTACATGTATATCCCCAACACAGTCCTCCAGTGGTGTTTCAGAGTCCACTTCAGGTAGGTCGGCACAAGTAAGATAAGATTGGCTTGTAGTCATGAAGTCATTACAGAATTGTGCTGCCTTAGCTTCATCCCAGCCTTCCCTCCACTCAGGTGCCTGGAAAGACCCATGATTATTGCACGTTCACAAAAGAACAATTTAATCATGACAAATGGATCCCATGTAATTGATGATATAAAAATGGCTTTAAAAATTGAATCCAAATCAATAGATGTACATACTGGTGCAACATAGTCAGGATCGTACTCAAAGACCAAGTCCTCCTGTTCTGCGTGTTGTACATGGTCATGATATGTTGTACTGCGTTTGGTCTTGCATCTTTCACTCTCTCTGTCAGAGATATCAACTCCTATAATAATGTACTTTGATATAAACATATAAATTTATCTATTAATATTTAAAGTATGCTTGACAAATCTCAGATATAAGGAGCTAATCATTGCATATATATTTCTAGATTTATAGTTGGATTATTAAAAGATTTATTGCCAAATAAATAATATTTTTTGGTCTTTATTGTAGATGTGTCACCAAAAGTGAACCAACCATCAGAAAAACTGCTCTTAATCTTAATTTGAAAAATTGATTATGAACTTGATGGGTCTAACCTGAGTCCATACACTGCTTGATCTTTTGGTTGAAGCCACATTCAACATTATGTTCCCCTCTACGCCTCTCACAGCTACAGTACAAGCGTTTGGGCATAGGATCAAAAGACCGTGGGTTGTATAAACTTTCATTTCTGCTCACTCTTTAATACAAGAATTAGTAACAGTCAAGGAGATCATGTTGCATACACAAATACATGTAGCACTCTTCCTGATATAATAGAGATTTCCAAAATAAAAATTTATCCTTATGGAGGATATCAAAAAAACAGTACATGTATATGCTGTAAAACAATGAAAGAGGCATCATTCATTCCAGGTTAGTATATTGTTGTATGATTTAAATAAAAAAAAGTATATCAACATTGTTTATATATTTTGTAATTGTTTCAATTGAAGTACTAATCCATATCCATATCTTATAAACAGTGGACTAAACGATATAGCACATCTGTAATGAGATATTATTGTATAACCCGTTTGTATTCTAGATACTCATGGAAAAATATCTTGCACTATATGTATTTCCCTAAATGGCAGTCACTATTTGCATGATAACAACGTAATATACAACGTAATGATACAACATAATACAAAATTCCACCCACCTCCATGATACAGAGAATACATCAGGTCTTTTACTTGGTCTATGTACCACCCCATTCCTGTCAGTCAAGTCATCACTGATGTCATTGTTGAGTATGCCACAGAGGCCTTTAGTGTTACCCCAGTCAATACTTGAGGGGAAGTAGGCAACATTAACAAAGTTTCCTTTATTTCCAGTTATCTTGACTCTTCCACCATGGGGTAGGTATACCTGAAATATACATTAAATATTATCATATGCCAAGGGTATACAGAAACCATATGAATCAATACATTGTGATACTAGTATTCATAAATCTAAATTGAAAAGACTTAAATCTACATTCATCCCTGAGATTTTACTAACAATGGAGACTGCTAATTCAAAGATCATATATCAAATTCATAAAAAATCCAAAACTAGTTGAAAAAATATTAGGATCATCAAATTCGAAAAAATTAACGTACTGTGTATTCATTAGCTTTACGGTAAATGTGCAGGGCGCTTTCATCACATCCATTCACTGCAATCCTTGTAGGTCTAAAACCTGCATTAGGTCGCCCGGGAATGACCTCAGCCAAGTGGCCTTGACATTTATCCACGATGAAAATATTACCGCCAGCTCTTACGGCCACTCCACAATTACATGTGGCACGTGCGCGTCTTCCACATTTCTTGGCAAACATGTTTACTTGTATCGGGAGAGTGGCGTGTTTGTACAAGATGAACTCTCCCTCTATGAAATTATCATATTTACTGAAAAAATATATTGTGTTCAGTTAAATAATAAGATAACAATGAAAAAGAGCATTTATCAAGTGAAAGTGAGAACTCATTGTCAACCAATAAGAGAACATAGAATAATTTTGTTTTCATTTGATATTTGTTTTTTCAAATTGTGCTAGGGTAGGTGTCCTCATACTTGCTCCAATACATGTGACCAAATCACCTATATATCTTTCAGTGGAATGTTGGAACATTTGCAAGTAAAAACTTTCAACTATCTCCTCTGGTAGTTATTACAGATTTTATTAATGATCAAAAAATTGAATAACATCTCAAGAGGTCCATATTACATGTATATACTCAGTAATTAGAGTAGTAATTTGAAAATGGATATTTACCGCCCATCAAAGGTGAACATGTGAGGATCGTTAGTGGACGAACATCTCTTTTTCCTCAATGGTATATCTTTGTCAACAACCGTTACCTAAAAAATATTGCATTTTCATGAAATATTACAGACATCCTATACAATTTTCAAACAATAATGTGAATGAAAGGAATTTAGTTATTTCTTGTATATTATTCATATCAAAGATTTCTTCACTTGAAGTTTTCTACTCTCAGAGTTATCATTTCCCACGGACAACCAGGAAAAGATTAAACCGAATATTTCATGAGGCCAGGTTAATATTGGAATGTAGTCCTGAAATGTAATTATTAGATTTTATATTGATTCCTTCCCTCTGCCCATCCCCTCCAAAACATAAATAAACAATTATTGATTTTTCATAGAAAAGGTCACTTAATAATAAACTATTATATACAATAACATATAAACAAATTGGCCATTTAGACGCCTTTCAATATATTCAATGTTTGCATATATATACAAGCATTCGTATGTACCTTTATATCAGGAAGCCTATGATTGCTCCAGGCAGGATGGGTCTTGACCTCATCTACATAGAGACGGATTTTGCCGATAAAGTCTCCGTCATATTGGTTATCAATGGTTGCTTCCACAGGTATCTCCAGCCACTCCTGCCATTTGGAGGGATAAATGTTGAACGTGCACTTGGTCGTCTCAAACACAAGCTGACGATTATCACCATTAGATGGACATTTGCCTCTGTGCCGTCTGCAATGTCATGGTTATAAATTATACATGAGAACATAAGGGGTTGTCTCATATGTTCACATTTGTAGAATTTTGATTGAAACATTTGATATGACCCCTAATGTGGGAAATGTACAATGAGGGTAATTAATTATGGTATACTGTACTTTATCATTGAATCACTTTGAAACTTCCCCATGGCGGCTAACTTCTTAAACTGGCTAAAAATTACTGTCTGCTTAAAATTGCATATTTATTTATTTATTTAATACACGTCCCATTCTTAAACCATTTTTAGATCTCATTTTAAGCCCCATTTCTTTCCAATCAAAATGATGCCATATTAATCCCCTACCCATAGTCAGGTGCTCTAAGCTCAACCATCATAGAACATGCCTCTTCACTCCTATTGGATGGACAGAGCAGAGGAACTCTGGGACGGACTCGTATTGTACCACGGCTGGTCTGATCTTCTTCAACTACAATATGAGCTGACTGCTCATCAATCTGTAAAATCATATTGATTTTAAAAGATGAAAATGCATAACCAATGTAGTACAATTTATTTTGACCCATCCTGTGGCCTGTACATAGAACATACATATGTACATGCACCTGGTATACTGATTTGAGATGAATCTGTACGACAATTTACAGTACAATGCAAGGGGTCAACTAATGTGATTTGGTGTATACTGTATTATATATATTTCTTTAATATATATTCTAAAAAAACGTTGTTGATAAAAACAAACAATTTTTTATCTCATTTGATTGTGCTTTATGGATTAAAATTGCTCCTACCTCAAATCCAATAGGGAATGGGTCACTAAAGCGTGTTGGGGTGGTGTTACCCGATGACTCATATTTTGCCTGGTAGTGACATGTCAGCTGGAACCAACAAGATAAATAATCACAAATTAACTTATATGTGGGCATGTGTGAAGTCTGAAATGATTTAGTTACTTTAGCAAAATTGAACTGACATTTTTTTTCATTTCATCACACTTAATAAGATAGTGTTCAGTCCACTCACTCACTGATTACTCTGTTGGAGCTGTATATAATATATTGAAACATATACTTTTCTGTTACGACATTTTTCTTCAAAAGTCCTACCTTGTTTCCCATGCCTTTGTTCCTCCTAGCTTGGATCCAATCACTCTCCCTCAGTATGGCAGGCATGCTGGACTGTGGCACCCTCCTTTCCTGGTGGACCAAGTCATCATCCATGTACCTAGAATGAAGAACATGCATCATGATTCACTTAAAAATTAAAATAGTGTAGCTAAAATACCCCCATTTTAAAAAGCGTCTAACAGCATGAAATTTCACCATCGACAGACTTCATAAAAACCTTCCCTGAAAATAGAGTCATGATAAAGGCATGAGATGTTCAAATTGACAAGTTCCAATGTCTACTGAAAATAATGTCTGTGACAAAGTCTATTGTTATTGATGTAATTTAGAAACAGATACAGGCACTAAACCCCTTTAACAAAAAATAATTTGCATCTATGGGAGAAAATTGTATGCACTACTGCCATCTATTTATCAATCAATATAGCAATTTATTTTTTTCTAATTTTTGCAAACACATCTACTAAGCTTGTAATTGCAGATGCAACTAATGCCTGTTGGCCACTGGATTAACCTACAATTTCATGACCAACTCATTCAGATATGAATGGGATAGTGGCAGGTACTATTCATACAAGTATTTAAATGAGTTGCCCATAAAATAGTAAGTTAATCCGGTAGCCGCTAGTTGCATTCGTGAATACAAGCTTAGTCTACCCACAAGCAATCTAGACAGATTTTATTTATTAAATGTTAAACATCCCTGATTTGATCCCAAGCTCTTTGATTATAACATCTTGGTCAACTTACCATTGCACATCAAACACTAGCTCATCTTCAACAGGGGTGTCAATATGGCATCTAAACTGTAGCTCTGGACGCTCCCTCCTGCCATTAGTTGTTTCACCTGGTGAAGAAAAATGACTTGTTCTTTAAAGGGTTACAAGATATAACTCCCTTTTTTCAATGCTATATCAAGCCCGTAGACAGGGGTGGTATGGGATTATTTGGCACCCTGTATAAATTGAATTATGCGATAAAAGAGAAATTCAGAAACTATGATTTTCAACAACTTTTTTATATTTAATTCTCACCTATTACATAGTCTACTGTGGGGTCAGCAGTGACATTGGGAAGCCTTCCTGATCTGCATGGCTCAAAGCCATCATTTGAGCCTGATCCGGGTGGGCATCGTTTCTTCTCACCTGAAATGCAGAAATATACCTCACTAAAAGACAGCAACTCTCCAGGGCAAATCAAACAAACAAAACATTATTTATCAAATCTCTACTCATTTGGATATTACTTATTTTAGAAACAACCAGGATGTGGTATAGTTGTACTGTATCCTTTTTGGGATCATCTGATCTGATTTATTAATAGAATTTGTTTTAACTCAGTTTTATATATGGACATCCTAACATACTATGACTTTTTACATTTTAAAACTTTGAAGTGTGCAAAAAATCAAAAATTCCATGGAATTCTATGAGAAGTATGTGAAAATGTTAAATATCTTGAAAAAGTTGCCTTATTTACCCTGTCACTCTATTGTTTATTCAGCCAAAATTAACTAACCATATTAAGTATTAATCAAGGGAAGCAATCATTAGACTTAATGCATAAATCTGCGATTATGGATCATGCAGTCAGAAATAATTGTGTGATCAATTTCAAAGACTACTCGATTCAAGATATATAATAGTGAGCAGATAGGAATAAACATTTAATATAAGAGCCTCTCTACATCAGGACACATATCTCAAACATCAACAGGGATAACGGAAACCACAAACTCAACCCACCTTGGGACAAGGTGTTGCAAATTTAACCAGATAACATCCTTAATCCCCATCCGTTACACCTCCTTAACTGAGCCGTAGCAAAGCGAACTAGTACCCAGTCGCGGATAAGTGCCTGAAGAGTAGTGAGTAACTTTCAATTAGTATAAATTGTGCACCAGAACTTAAAGTATCCAATTCAAACAGTGATAAAAGTTTAACTGAGGCGCATGATTGTGTGCCATTCACTTTATAATCACTCAGGCTGGAAGTGGCCTACGTTCTAAAATATGATTTATTTTAGAGTTTTTCTCAACATATCAATGTCAACTGAAACTATATCCACTGAGAAATGCTAGTAAATGATGTTAATGATAAATCATATTAAAAATATAGTTTTAGAACATTATATTAGCAAATAACTCTTATTCAATTGTGAAATTTTGTTTACTCTACCTAATGTATTTTGTGCCTATTTTGATGTACATTTTTTTTTAACTATAACTTTCAATACTTAATTAATAAAAATAAAACAAGACTTAATTTTAGCCCTACTTAATTATTTTTTGGTAATTATTGCATTGTGCACATATTATCTAGCTGACTTCAATATGCTGAAAAAACAAACGCAATATTCAGACAAAACTAACTACGTCAAACATCAATTTTCTCCTCTCATTTAATTTTTATTAATTAAATATATTCAAAATCAATGCTATACAGGAACACAAATGTGTACAAAATGTTCCCACCAAATGATCCCGTCAAATGGTTATCCTGAAAATGATTAGAGAAGACCTTGACGACACAATATGAGGACAGAAAATTCAAAATGGCCACCTTAAATTTATTCAGAATGCCTAAAAATTAGTCAGTTCTAGATTTTCATACTTAAACCACCCCTGAAAATTTGAAATTGATCCGTCAAACAGTTAACCAGAAAACATGTAAACAAGACTTTACAGACAGATTTTAGGATGGAAAATCCAAAATGGCTGCCTTGACATTAACCCAGAATGTCAAAAAAACTAATCAGTTCGAGATTTTCATACTAAGAATCATCCCTGAAAATTTGAAATTGATCTAACTAACAGTTCATATGAAAACATGTAAACTAGACTTTACAGACAAGATTTTAGGACAGAAAATCCAAAATGGCTGCCTTGACATTTACCCAGAATGCCAAAAAACTAATCAAATTTAGATTTTCATACTAAGAACCATTCCTGAAAATTCGAAATTGATCTACCAAACGGTTCACCTAAAAACGCATAGACAAGACTTTACAGACAAGATTTTAGGACTGAAAAATCCAAAATGGCTGACAATAAAAAAGTGATTATAAGTTTTTAAATTTATGACATATAACTACTATTAACAATAAGATAGGCATTTACAACAAAGTACACCTGAAATTATTTATGAAGCTACTAAATAGTTAAAGTATGAAAACTCAAAAACACCATTCAATATGATAAAAAGTATTATCGCGCGTTAACTTTTTAAAGACATTGAAAATGGCTGACATGACTGAGCTAACATGTCCAAAACCTAATCAGATGTAGAATGAAGTTAGCTGAACAAGATATTAAAGTTTTAAAAGCAACTTTGAAGCCGTTTTTTTTCTTAAATGGCCGACAGGAAGTAGGTATCGAATTAAATTTTTTTCATCCACATCTGTATGCACTCATAAGTTATCCCTGAAAATTTGAAGGTGATATCTGTAGCGGTTTTTGGAGAAAACTGCCGGACGTACATACGTCATACATACGTACGTACGTAAGTACGGATGGACGGACGGACAGACGGACACGCCTAGGCCGACAATGTGGCCACACACTATGTGGTGGGGACATAAAAATGTACATCAAAATAGGCACAATAATCACTAGGCTATCCTGTACCCTGTTGCTTTAATAGCTTTATTGCATGATAACCATCTCAAACTAACATCAAACGACAACATATTAACTGGAATCGTCACAAAACAGATTGCATGATGTTCTCTCTATGGGAAATGCTGGATAAAGATGGAATATTTTCTAGTGAATATACACTTAGGCTAAAAAGTGCCTAAGTTATACAAATAACTTCATTAGTCATAAGACTAACGCGATACTTTACGAGATTTCAACACTGACTGTAGTAAATGCAGCTATATGAACAGAGGAAATGCTTGTAAATGAAGGGCTAAATAAATCATATTAAAAATATAGTTTTGTAGCATTATATTAACAAGTAACTCTTATTTAATTGTAAAATTTTGTTTACTTATCAAATGTATTATTGTGCCTATTATGATGTCTATTTTATAACTATAAATTTGAATACTTAATTAATAAAAAAAATTAAACGAGACCGAGAAAAAAGTTAAGTTTTGTCTCAGCATTGTGCTTGTTATTTCAGTGGTATTAAGATCAACTAAATAATTTGTGCACATATTGCAATAATCACCAAACAAGACACAGTGCGAACAGAATTGCAGAAAAATACCTTTTAGACATTCATACCTTGAGAAAGTCAGTGAAGGTCAAGTCTTAAATCTAAAGATCAGATTTGAATCTTGAGATCTTATAAATGATTTTGGAAAAATATTTGGTCAATTTGAAGACCTTGAAAAGGTCATTCAAGGTTTCATCTCAAATTTAAGTCAGATTTGAAATTCTGAAAACTTGTAGATGATATTGAAAAAATTGATCAATTTGAAGAAAGTTGAAAAAACTTTTTTGACCTTGAGAAGGTAATTCAGGGTCAAATCTTGAATCAGATTTAATCTTTTGAGAACTTGTTGATGATTTTGAAAAAAACTTAAGTCAGTCCAAACAGTATTTGTTAATTATTGAAAGTTTTTAGAATTTGTTACAGACGTCAGTTGCCGGACACCAACCACCAACCGCAATGACAAAAAAACGGAGACCATAAACGATAAAGTAGGGCTAAAATAACAAATAAAGTACAATGTACTTTTATATATTTAGACAGTAAAGTTCATATATATCAAGACATCAATAAGATAAAATGTCAAAATTAAAGTACTGGCTAAGAAATATTGCTTTTAATAGTTAAGTTTATGAGTGAATATGAAGAAGTTCACATTTAAGAAACTTTAGATAAAACTAGACAATGGCAACTCTTCAGAACAGAAAATCCCAATGAGCCAATTATTCATAAATCTGAACTAAGTCATAATTCAATCTAATCTTTAGATCCTCATTTCCCCCATGGTCATTTGAACTTTAAAGGGCACAAATCTGAAAGAAGATACAATATATGTGATCCATCAAATATAAAGAAAATTCACCTACTAGTATTTGAGTTATTTTCCAGACAGATGGGTGGAGTGACCGAGGGACAAAGGGTTTTATGATATCCCTACAGAACTTTGTTTGGTTAACAGTTTAAGTCAGGTTTGCTAAAATGTTGATTGTTAAGAAAGGAACCTATTTCCTTGCGAGGACCATTATAAGAAGGCCCCAGCGTGTACTCACCAAAGCAGTAAGCCTGGTTGTTGCCTGGTGGTTTCACCAATTTGTAGACATTAAAATCTCTGCAGTTCTTAACCTTCAGTCGGAGTTTCTCCCCACAACAACCATTTCTGGTATGAACACAGCCCTCTATATCAACTACCCTGTTTGGCGGGAACGATGTCCTTACATCTACAATCATATAGCATGGTCCAGTGAAACTAATGCATGCTTCCTGACTAAGGCACATTAATCAAGGCAATTATCCAAACTTTATTTAAATGAATTTGCATTAATACAAACATTTTAATATTAATAAGATTGAGGTAACTATACTATCTACAATATCGATTAGTTTTCTGAAGTGGATCTCCTCTCAAAAAGAGGGTGCCAGAACTTCTGATTTTCTGAATTTTTGAGCCCTGTGAGAGTTGACTAAATAGAATTATTAATTTCAGTCTCACCATTCATCCATATAGGAAAGTTGGTACTACAGTAATTGAGGTCCACACACATATTGGGGATTTCATTGCCGCCTGGAGAGTTAACACGATACCACCCTGGAATCAGTGCCTGTTTGTCTGACAATGGTGGCCGAGTGTCCACATCAAGCCTCACCCCAGCACTTCTTTCACCATTGTTTGTCAACAGGCTGTGGGACACACAGGGATCATCATCCTCTCCAAAAGCTAAAAATATGACAAATGACATTAGAAAAATTGCCTGTCCCTTTGTCCATGCAACCAAGAAATTTAGAAATATATGAAAAATGAATTTAAATAACTCTTTGAATATGAAAACTGCTGATGAAAACTTAAGTTATTTCATAGTCATTTTTTTACAAATTTTCATGAGCAAAATGCCTGCAAAATAAGATGGTTACTATAAAATATTCCTGGTGTAATTATCCAGAATATTGTAATTGTATAAATACATACCTCCTACAATGCACAATCCTAGCAGAATAAAAATGATTTTCTCCATCTAGACAATCTCATAAGAAGACAACTAAATGTAATGCATACAGTAATGGTCCTTCTATATATATACTATACCAAGCTAATGCTCTTGACCATATATGTGACACAGTTCCACATTCAAAAGGACCATAAATTAAAAATAACAAACAAATATAGATAAATAAATTAAAGATAATAAGTAGCCTAACCATCTTTGTAATTTCTGACCCCTAAATCTGAGTTATGGGATAATAATGAGGTTAATAATTTGAACCATTATGTTTGCACTTACACTTGAAGTAGCATACTGATTTCTGCTTGATATGCTAAAATGATAATGTTAAGCCTATATTTGCCTATTAACTAATTAAAGAGCATATTCCAAAATAAAGTTATTATTCTATATGTAACACTCGCAATTCCATTTTTCATATTTCCATTGTTAGTTCTTTCAATAAGAATTTGGAAATTGAAAAACTTTGACAAACAATATGAAGTGGGTGCTTGAGAATTCATAGAACTATCTATGAGCATGCATGTATACATAACACATTCTTACTTTTGGAACACCCTGTATAGTGCATACATAACCCATTCAATAACCACTTATAACCAAGGTGATTTAAGAGATAACCTGATTGAATTATTTTTTTTATTAATCTCACACTTCGAACTATTGCATTAAATCATGTGACGTCACTGACAATTGTGACATCAAGGTTCCACATTATTTTAATTCAGTTGACATGTTCAGCTGATTAAAATCCTACATTTCAAAATTCAAGCATAAATCATATGACGTCAGACACAAATGTCAAAGAAACAATCCAAAATTCAAAATCGCATTGATAATGTAACATAAAGTCTGGTATTTAATCTTGAATGACGTCAGTTGATAATACGTAGACATTCTTCAAGATCATTAAGGACAGATCTGGAAGTGTACAAGGAGTGAGTTGCATTTTTTTCAATTACTAAGGTCCATTTTTTGTAGATAAAACAATGTCAATAATGACACTAAATTGAAGAAAATGTTCCCCTACTGTTTCACTGCCCCCCCTCCAGTTCAACCAGTGATGTTGGATTGCAATTATATTATGTAAGAGTCAATTTAATAAAACACAGTTTTATATAAAAACAACATATACAATTTTATCTTTATTGTATTGCACTATTCAGCAGTATTGTTGAGCATTTAAAACACCCTGTAAACTGTACAATTGCATTTTGAATGAATACTGTACAATTCTGAGCTATTAGCATATTATATACACATTTACACATTTGCAATTTATCAGATTGTATCCATGGATTGAATAGAAATTACTGCCAGTTGATGAAAACATCTTTCCATGTATCCACGGCTAATTATGAATTATTTGTTTTTTTTCCTGATTACAAATTCCATTTTCTCATTAAAAAAGAGTTTGGAATGTAAAATTATGGATGGTGTATATAATGTCCTTATTTGGAATTGTTCCTGCGGGCCTGTGTTATCCACTTTTCAATGTTTGCCACCTCGATCTGCCTGGCTTTGATAACACTAGGGGGGTCTTGGGGATTAGATGCCCTGCAAAATGAAAAGTTAAAGTTTATGTGGCATAAGTGACATACGTCTTTATTATGTGACATAAGTGGATAAGTGTTGTGGCATTGTATTACACAGGTTATACATCATAAAACAAAATCATTTAACAAAATCAATATATGAAGATGTCTCGACATTTTCTCAGCTGAAATTTAACTCTTTCACAATGATAGGCTCCATGTGGGGCCCTATTATGTAATACCTTTATTTTTATTTATATATATCAATGAAATGACAAATCTCCAGTTCTATTCTGTATTTTTACCCTTAAGAAAAAAGCCATGGTAACCATGGTATTCCATGGTGCGCCCATGGTAATCCATGGTTTTCCATGGAAATTCATGGTTTTCCATGTTATTTTCCATGGAAATTCATGGACGCCCATGGTAATCTTCCATGGATATTTACCATGATTTTCCGTGGTAATTGTTGGTTTGGTAATTGGTTTTTAATGGATGTGTCATGGAGATGTAAAATCAACAATTTTGGTAGGATTTGTATTTACCAAAATCTCCAAAATGAATGTTTTGATGATATATCCCAGTTAGACTGAGACTTATCATTGAGAAAAAAGGGTGGACATTTCATTTTGAAGGTATAGCAAGAACATTCATCGAATGTTAGACTCAGCTTACAAATGAGAAAATATGTGAAACAGCAGAGCAGAGAGTAGGCCACAAGATTTCAAAAACAATTGTGCAAAGGTCTTTTGTGTAGATCAAGACTAGATAGAGATTGCTTATTTTTTAGGCCAAACACTTCTTTCCTTTGAAAAAGATTAAGTCAAACTAGCCCAAGCTCTCTTTTATTTCAATACTTTCTTTAATTTTCAGTTTTAAAAATCAATATGAAGTAATTTAAGAAATAAATAACTCATTTTCTTAAATTACATTTCGTACATTTGAGAATACAATCAAAAACCATGGTTTCTTTCTTTGAAGTTGAGAAAACTGCAATCAAAAGCCATGGAAGACGGTTGATTGCAATCGAAGGCCATGCTTTTCCATGGTTATTTCTTTGATGTTTTGGAAAGTGCAATCAAAAGCCATGGTTTTCCATGATTATTCTTTTGATCTTTTGAAAGTCCATGGTTTTCCATGGGTTATTTGTTTGGTCTTTTGGAAGCAGAAAAATGAATAATACATTATGTTTCTAAATGAACTTCTCCAAATTAAGTCCCATTCAACTTTTATAAGCATATTATCTGAAAAAATCCACAGAAAAGTATATACTTTTACAGAATTTTGACTTGAAATTGAGATGGGGGATTAAACACAAGCCTATGGCTGCAAACTGAAATGTTATACCTAAGTGATAAAAATTCAATTTGTCTATGTAAGAATATTATATTTAAAAAGAAGTTGCATGAAGGAAGGGGAGGGGGTTAACAACACCATTTGGCTTAAAACATGAAACATAGTATAAGTAATTAAAATTGATTTGTCTTTGAATAGGAATAAATAATCATTTGCATAATTTTTAAATATTTGGTTGCTATTATTCTATGTTAATTAGGTGTCTTATCTCTCAAATTAATGTCAAAAGATTAATCTCTTTACAACAGATTATAAGAGTTCATTTGCATAATTCTTAAATATTCTGATCTTAATTGTTATTATATATGATAATCTTACTCTTTCTAATGCTCCCTCTTCAGTAATTATTATTGTCTGTGAGTGTAGACAGTGCAAGTCAAAAACTCATTGTTGATCAAATAAAACCAAATAGGATTTACTCCAAGTAAAAATGTTTATTCAGTCTGCAATAAGGGAATCCAGTGAGCTGATTCTATCACTTATTTTGTCTTTTTTTACATAAGTGCCAAAGTTAAATGATAGCAAATCCCAGCAAACAAATTATTACTTTTAATTGTGGGGTCAAATCATCAATTAAAAAAATATTAAGTAAACAGTTCTTTGTCATATGACACTATGTACAGAATGTACTAAACATATATTCAGATTGTAAAAACATGGTTGTATTTCAGGCCTGAAACCAGCTTTTGTCAAGAAGGTTGACTTTCTCAAAGATTTTGGGGTGGGGGGGGGTGTCATATTCTTTTATCTATGATTAATGAGACTAATTCTCAATCCAGCTTGGATTCATTCGTTAAAATATTGATTCAATTTTGAAGATTTTGGTAAAAACAAAACCTGCCAAAATTGTTGATTTTACAACTCAAGTGTCATGGTAAAAACATGGCATGTTCATGAAAAAACAATTACCAAACCACCAATTACCACGGAAAATCATGGTAAATATCCATGGAAGATTACCATGAGTATCCATGAATTTCCATGGAAAATACCATGAAAAACCATGAATTTCCATGGAAAACCATGGATTACCATGGACTACCATGGACGCACCATGGAATACCATGGTTACCATGGCTTTTTTCTTAAGGGTACTTCAAATTTTGACAAGTTGTTATAATGTGATAATCCTTACTAAAAATTGTATTTAAGTGATAAAATCTAAAGCATAGCTCCTGAGGTATAGGTAATTTGGAGTTTTTCTCTAAAAACTGCTCTTACTTATCCGTTACCAGGACAACATTTTCCTCCTATATTCACATCAGGAAAAGGTTAAAATGATGTCCTATAGTTGTATAACAGTCTCTTTTGCCTCCCCTATTTAACTTGCCTCTCCTATTTAACTTGCCTCTCCTATTCTTGGATTCTGACTTTTTTGTTGAAAACCTCACCCTCATTCCGAATAAACATGGAGTAGTGTTTAATGAGGTTATATAATGGTTGATTCTGTATATCGTGTTTATACTCAAGTGAATATATCATATACCCACGAGAGTATAACGATATACAGAATCAATCATTATATGTTCTTATTATCCCACCTAATCTAAATTGAGCAGTTGTATATCAAGTTGGTGAGTTGTATACACTGCCCAGGAGTTGCATATGCTATCTAGGAGTTGTATATCGTTCTCAAGAGTTGTATACGATGAGTGTTGGTTTTATATTGCAGTTATACAATGCTGTTACACAAACATATAAAGCACTTAGAGTAAGATAAAATATAAAACATACCTCAAGTCAAGATGATGAGCACCTCCTTCAATTACAACTGCAACCACAGAGTCAGAGATACTCTCTAACACCTATAAAACATAGAAAATGATTAGAGAACTGTTTCAAATTAAAGAAGCCAATGTGTTACTTGAAACATTAAGTCATTGATTGTGATCACAGTGCTTGTTTAGAAGAGTGGAATCATTCAGGGATCCAATGATATTCTTTTTCACTTGCAAATACAGTACTGCCATGCATCATCATTTGCATCATCCGAACACAGGCCTCAAGAACTCGTACCTCATTCTTGGAAGAAGGAAGGAACATAGTGGATGATGTGCTATATATCTAGTATTCAATTGTACATATCTTACATATATGACTGATAGTTTAATTTGAAGTTACAAATTACACTTAAGCTATTTCAATATTTCCTTAAAATGAGTTCATCACTTACCCCTCCAAGATGCCAGGGGTCAAGGTCACCATTAGAGAAGACAATGTTGCTTGTATGGTTGATATCTGAAAATGTAGAATGTGATATAAATCAAAAGGTTAAATATTCAAATTTTTGAAATGACACATCCCATATAAAATCAAATCATGTACTATAAAACAGTTTCATTCAGTAAAACTTTTTTAAATTACTTAATGAAATCAACACCTAGCCTAGGGTGTTAAGCTTTTTCAAGGACTACATCTACTTGGAATTATGCAACATTCAGAAATTTTGTTGCAATACAATTTTTTCCATGAAATTACAGACCTAACTTAATGGGTTTTCAAATTGTAATTTTACTTACTTCTTCCCCACAGGTTGAGAGCCAACCAATCATCTCTTGGTCTTACTGTCCATTTATCGTAGCAATAGTCTGCCCTTGACTTGTATGTGTAATTCAAAGGAGGGAACATGTCTGTTTTAAAGTTAGTGCTCTGGACAATCTGCACCTCCGTGCATGCCTAGAACCCAATATTGTAATGTACATTATATTAAATATTATATTAAAATATATTTTCCATGTAAACAGGGATTATTGGAGTTTAGAAGAATCTTAATAGATTATAAAAATAATCAGTGGCCGAATGCGACAGTACTTATGTCAAGACTATCAAACAATATATTGTAAATACCTGGAAGTCCCATGCTAGGCTATTAAGCCCAAGGTCACATCCTGTGGGATCAGCACATTCAATGAACAACTCAGAGATATTGTAACACTTCTTTTCTTTATCACTGTATTGGTAGAATAAAGCTAAAAAGAAATGTTAAAACATAAATGAGTCCATAATTCGGTTAACACAAGTTTCAATTTCAAATTCACTCACATATGAAATTCCCAACTCTACTGTTACTCTACTAGCAATGAAAACATAGGTTAAGATCCCTATTTGTGAAATAATGCTACCAGGGGTTATAGGGTTCAGTAAAACCTGTCAAGTCTGAATGCCATTGGCACCAGTTAAAGTGTCAAAAGTGGCAGGTTTTACAGTATTTGTACCTGTGGCAGCAGCAAGTCCGTCTAGAGGTGTGCTTCCATTCACAAGCATCTCTGCAGCAGCCTAAAGGATAAAACATGTATGTAAAGGTGACATTACTTGATGCAGAGAAGTGACAAGACTTTATAGAGAAGTGACAAGTTTTTATAGAGGTGACAAGGCTTAATACAGAGAGATGACTAATCTTACATAAATCTGTCCTACCTTGATAGGGTATGCTGGTAGTGGAGCTAGGAAGTCAGTGGGGTAGGGGTAATCCATCATGGCTAGAGAAGTGAATGCATTCCTCACATACAAGCTCAAATGGTTTAGGTCTCCTGGCTGGAGGGGGCTGCACAACTGGAAGATCTTTGTGATTGCTGCTAAACCTGAAGAATGGATAACAGATACATGATGAGCAAGCTCCAGGTTAAATAGTTATATGTGTACTCAATATACTCACTAGCACACACATGGTCTGAAAATCTATATGTGCTTGTATATAATCCCATGATTACATATATAGTTAGTGAGGTAGCACCGAAAAATGTACCCGCTTCTGAACAAATTGAAATTACTTGTTTCTTATGTATTTTTATGTGATACTTCAGAAAATTTTTGTCTGATGCGCCGTATCCGGGGCGAAAGTTGTCAAAATTGGGTTTTTGACCCTAAAAAGGATAATTACAGGGGGTACATTATCATCATTGAATAATTCATTCAGTTCGTCTTCAATCATCATAATAATTTTATCGAGAGTTGATGAGATCATTTTTAGGTAGTATGCAAAGTTTCAATGGTCTGTCACTCGTGGTTGCCATGGAAACCACAATTTTTGCTGAGAAAATCCTTAATTTTGGTAAAACCTGTACCTGTACATAATATAGAATGTGGATTATTTTTCAAATCAACAGATATCAGAACATTTTAGCATTTTCAAAATTACAAGGGCAGTTCAAACATTTATTTAAATATACAGGATATTGCAATTAACATAGCTGGGGAGTGTCAAAGACCATACAATTACATAAGTGATCAAAAGTGGGCGTCGCCCTTATCATAGTAGATGATTGCCATTCTCTAAAAATACAGAGTTTTACTTGACTTTTGAGATACATTTATAATGATGTTCTTTGGTTATACTAAATATGAAGCATTTTTGGTAAATAATGTACATGTAAGTGTTATACTTATTGCATTGGGGAGGGGGTAGATGGGGGGGGGGGTAACAGAATTGGAAGAGGGCAAAGCTAATCACCCTTAAGTATAAATCTCATCTACATAGTTCTGGATTTCATAGGGTTCATCTTCTGGGTCTTCTTCACATTCATCTGAATCTATAGGATATTATAATTCTGCATGATTGGTAAGTATAAAGACCATAGAATTACTCAAGTGATCAAAAGTGGGCGTCGCCCTTATAGATTCTCTCTATAAATACAGAGTCTAAGTTGACTTTTGAGATACATTTACATTACAACTTCTTTGATTATACTTAATTTCAAGCATTTCTGGTTAGTAATGCACATCTATTTGTAATAGTTCTTGCCTGGGGGAGGATGGGGGAGAGTAGTAACAGAATAGGGAGGGGGCAGAGGTAATCAGCCTTAAGTATAAATCTCATCTGCATAGTTCTGGATTTCATGGGGCACCTCGTCTGGGTCTTCTTCATATTCATCTCAATATATGGGATATTACAATTTACAGGATTTGTCAAACACCATACAATTACATATTTATAAACGATCAAAAGGAGTGTCACCCGAACAATAGTAGATGATTGGTTCTTTGTATAAATACAAAATTGAACTTGACTTTTGAGATACATTCATAGTTATACTGAACTGCTGTTATTATAATTTATGTCAAGCATTTCTGGTAAATACATCTGTGTAAGTATTATAGTTTTTACATTTGGGCAGGGGTGAGTAGTAACAGAATTAGAATGTGTAGATCTAATCTGCCTTTAAGTATAAATCTCATCTTTTTAATTCTGGATTTCATAGGGTACATCTTCTGGGGTTTTCTGATTCAACTCCTGGTGTTGCTTTATCACCAATCTCTTGTATGAGAATATCAGTCAATACCCACTGGAAAGATATGGAGTCATTTAGTTTCCATTCAAGTCCATCTGGTGGTTCACTACGAGGATTTGCAATATGGGCCATACAGACAATAAGTGCTTTATATGGATGAGATGGTTACAACAATCAGACAGTCATTCATTAGACCAACTTAGGAAAATTATCTAGAGATGAGATGAGTGTGACACCCATAACGACCTTGGAAAGGCACAAATAGCAAGTATAGAAGACATAAAGATGACAAAAACCGCACAAAAAAAGATTTCATGATCTAATAAAACATATGAAATTGAAAACTATAGCAGCAAACTACAGCAGCAACAGTGACAGTGACAGTAAAAAGTACTCAGAACAAGCTTATACAAATACATTCTGAATGAAACATCTTTGAACAGCTTCGATCTTGCTTAAGAACATAAAATTAGCCTAGAATGTCTCCTGCAGTTCCTATTGAGCCCTGTGCCTTGGGCTCTAGGAACACTGACTGGACTTCTTGCAAGAACAGAGAAACACATCCCTATGCATGAACATGTACCCACAAGTGCCAAAGGGAAAGGACCAAAATTTGTAATAGAACCCAGCAAGAAAAAGAAAACTTCTAAATGTATACAAGTCATAAGGAAAACAAACCCCAACTATCCCAAACCATAATTCAACTTGAAAGGTAGTTTTGTTTCTGGATCTGGCGAAGACTTTTTCAAGAGTCTACAATTGCAGATTGATTCGTTTTTGTATGTGATAATTACATCAAAATTTCTACAAAGGAACCTGAAAGAGGGGAGGGACACCTTGACCTATTTGAGGTAGAAAAACATGAGTCCCTAAAGATTGGAATTAGTTTTTGTATGATGATGAAAACAAAAAGCAAATACAGCAAAGTGTGCTGCTGGATATTTGAGTTGGAAACAAATGAAGACTGATGTCAGTGGTATTTCCTCCAATATAGACCCTGACATATATGCAGCCTTCCTAGCACTTCACACATTCACAGATGAAGTGCCATGCAGAAGGGGCAATAGCACCTTTTTAAAAGGCAAAGGTGGAGCGCCATATAGATACACTCAACTGAATGACTCTCAAATCTGCAAGTGTAGTGGTATATTCTCCCACATGATATTGTTAATATATTAACATCGGGAGGTGAATGAAAATGATCAGACTATGATATTAATACTTAAGACTGACTGGCCATTGGCTCTGCCCCCTCCCATTTCTGCTACTACCCCCCTTGCCCCCCCCCTACTATTGTTAGAGCAACACCAACTTTTGATCACTTATGTAATTGTATGGTCTTTGACACTTACCAATCATCTAAATTGGAATATCCCATATATTGAGATGAAGAAGAACTAGAAGTGAAGAAGACCCAGAAGATGCACCCCTTGAAATCCAGAACTAAATAAATGAGATTTACATTCAAGGCTTATTAGCTCTGCCCATTTCCAATTCTGTTACTCTCCCCCCCCTCCTCCACCCCCAGACAATAACTATTCAGTTAGATGTACATATATAACTTACCAGAAATGCTTGACATTAAGTATAAATCAAAGATGTTTTTAAGTAAATGTACTTCAAAAGTCAAGTTAAACTCTGTATTTATAGAGAATGAACCATATACTATGATTAGGGCGACGCCCACTTTTGATCACATGTGTAATTCTATGGTCTTTGACACTTACCAATCATGCAGAATTCTTATATCTTATATATTGAGATGAATATAATAAGACCCAGAAGCTGTACCCTATGAAATCTAGAACCATGTAGATGAGATTTACACTTAAGGCTGATAAGCTCTGCCCCCTCCCAATTCTGTTACTACCCCCCCACCCTCCACCCTCCCCCCTGTATCCCCATGCAATAACTATAACACTTAGATGTAAAAATGCTTGATATTAAGTATAACCAAAGAAATTCAATATAAATGTATCTCAAAAGTCAAGTAAAACTCTGTATTTATAGAGAATGGCAATCAACTACTATTATGAGGGCGACGCCCACTTTTGACCACTTATGTAATTGTATGGTCTTTGACACTTACCAGTCATATAAATTGCAATATTCTTTCTCTTTAAACAAATGTTTGGACAGCCCTGGTGATTTTTAGAGTGCTAAAATGTTCTGATATCTGTTAATTTGAAAAATAATCCACATTCTATATTATGTACAGGTACAGGTTTTACCAAAATTAAGGATTTTCTCAGCAAAAAGTGTGGTTTCCATGGCAACCACGAGTGACAGACCATTGAAAGTTTGCATACTACCTTAAAATGATCTCATCAACTCTCAATAAAATCATTATGATGATTGAAGACTAACTGAATGAATTATTCAATGATGTTAATGTACCCCCTGTAATTTTCCTTTTTAAGGTCAAAAACCCAATTTTGACAACTTTCGCCCCGGATATGGCGCATCAGACAAAAACTTTCTGAAGTATCACATAAAAATACATAAGAAACAAGTAATTTCAATTTGTTCAGAAGCGGGTACATTTTTCGGTGCTACCTCACTACCTAATAGTATTTATAATCATATAGAATTTCCACTGATTTCCACCGATTTAAACCAAAACAGTGATAAATACTGCTTTTTTCTCAAAAATTCAAAATTGCCACCAAGTAATTTACCCAGTATGCCAAAAGATCTTGACACTAGTCTGTTCTTACATCTGTAAAACTCAAGTTAAACAGGTAAGCTATTTTCTTGGAATTTCGATGACATGATTTATATGGAGCCCTCCAGTCCAAATGCAACCACGCCCATCAGCATAACATGATGCAAACTGAGATATTTTATATTTTATTATATTAGTTGAAATAATAAAACCAGTTCACTAACCATTAATATAAATAGTCATTAAAACACCTATTATCAGACAATTACAGCAAAACCTGTCTACATGGAACACCTTTGGTATCTAGTGTTCCACTTAGGAGTTGTTTCACTTTATAGAGATTCATTTAACATTAGGTCAGTTGGTCTTGGGACTCTCAAAAGTGTTCAACTAACAGAGGTGTTCCACTTCTAGGTGTTCAACCTTACATGTTTCACTGTAGTTAAAACCTTACCTTTTTTCCCACTCTCTGCCAACTTTGCCATGTCAGTGAATGCTTTACGTGCACTAGTGACACTCTCTTGATTAGCTGCATAGATATCCTGTATATAAGGAAACATATCACTATCAGTACAACTTAAAAGTTCATAAAAAACATTTTAATACCAATTGCAGGAAGTCAAATTACATTGATATCTGTTTACAACTATCTCTTACATCTGTTACAGTTTTGAAGAACGCATATGGATCAGTTTTTCCTGCTACAAGGTATATCGGGGCACTAGCTGCAATGGCGCCATCTACCAGGTTGGGGTACTTGAACCGCATGTAAGCTGAGAGCATGCCTCCATAGCTGGAAAATATCATTCAAAAACTAACTGTATGTAATGACACTGCCATCTTTATTAAAATACCAAAAGCCTAAAATTAAAATATGTTGGATCGTCAAATAAACATCTCAGCAAAATGTTACAGAAATACTCATTTACATTGTGAAATCATATTTTAAATGGTGTATTATATCTTCTACTTTTGCTCTAATTTTCCTTGCATACTCTAGTTCCTGAATTCTATACCCTATATATTAACTAATTCATTCCTCTTATAGATGGCGATTAAATTCCAGTAAGACACATGATTTTCATTTCAATTTTCTGATTTATTAGAAAAAATGCTTCAACCCTGAACCGAATGTACAAACACACGCACATGCAAACTGCATAGCCTTTGATATCTGCTAAATAGATATCTACTGATAAATGCCATTTGGTTGGATAATAAAAATATAATTTTGCTTTCAAGCTGTTTAGCTCTCAGTGTAATAATGTTCTATAACAATGGTCTTAATGCCTATAGAGGTTATTGCGCCTCATTCTGAATCTTCAATCTAAAGTCAATCAAGCATATGCATGTACATGTACTATCATTGTACGTGCATATTTACATGTTATATGTATAAAATCAAATAACTGTTTGTCCTTTTTATGCTTTCATGTATTCTATTTCAAAATTGATAAAAGTTCAATTGTGGTTGTTACACTAAAATTGATTGAGTAGACTATTCTATTTGTATGTAAGATAGCTGTGTCATATTTTAAAGATATACATGGTATAATGAAAAGTGCTGCACATGTATTTCTTTACATCATCCTAAAAACAAGGAAATCTGTCATTTTGAAGAGAGCAAATTCAAGGTCAGGACCAGAGGGTGGGAATATATGACCATTACTCCCAGAGTAGGGAATTGACAACCAATATTTTTTGTCAAAATCCCATTCTCACACAAACCTTTGAATGGTACTTACTTGCTGTTAACATGGGAAGGTGTTTTGCAATGGAGGTGTACAATTTAAATCAGCCCTCTAAAAATTCAGTCTTCCTCAGGACCAGACAACAATGGTAAATAGATATGTAGAGTACAAGGCCCATATTTAGCCTACCATCTACCCTCATGTACCCCCAATTGGCATACCCCCCCCCCTAACATAACAAGAAATATAAGGGACCATAGGCTTGTTGGACTAGAGTAGCACATGATTGAAATGTACCTTCCTCCAAAGGTAATCACTGGACACTTGGTTGCGTTCATTGTTTCTTTGATGTTGGATATGAGGTGAGCATAATCAGCCATGGCTTGTTCAATGGTAAGCAGACCGATGTATGGGTGCTTGAAACTCCACTCTGGGCCCCACTCTGAGAAGGGAGCAGACCCGCCATAGAATCTCTGCAAGTACATTGGGAATATACATGAAAACTGAGTATTATAATATACTACTCTTTCTCAGAGCTGCAGTTCATATCTACACTCTTTAGATTGGAAAACATTCCTTAAACTTAACGAACATCAAGAAATATCACTATGTTTTATTCTCTGCTAGTAAATAGCTAATATTTATTAATTCACATTTAAACATCAGTATACGGCCACAAAAAAAGTCTTAACGAGATGACTAAAATTTCATCAGAATCGAAGCTGTAAAATTATCTGCAATTATCAGAGGTGTAGTATACCTGGCTGATGAGCGCAGGGTAATAATATACCTGCTTTGAGTGAATGCAATATCTAAATGCATCATAAAACTCTTGCCAAGTCCTCAAGGAAAAGCCATATATTGCATGTTGCTAAGTAATAACTGTCCATTTCTACTCCCAACATCCTGACAACAAATTATATGGAAACAATTCCAAAAATCAATGTGCTATAATATTACAGTTAGAAGGTCACAATAACCTAGATTCTTGTCATACATATTTTGGAAAAAGCATGCTCATGTTTGGAAATAAGGTAATACGAGAAGTAGCCCAGTTTTAGAAACATATATTTTTACCTACTACCTTTATATACACTGTAATTTGTTATGTTACGTTATGATATTGAGGTAGACTGGATGATAAAAAATCTTTTTTGACTATAATGGCCAATTAATGAAATGGATAATATTATACATGATGGAAGATAAAATAGTGCTAATCAAATAAATTGTATTTTAATTAAATATTTAATGGCATTTTCCTAATTACGGTATTTGTTTTTTGACTATTTGAATTGGTGGAACTACCTTAAGCCCTATGATTATTTCACAAGAAGACTATTTACTATTTTGAATTCCTGTACAGTTTTCTAACTAATTAGTAATCAAATATTCAAGTTGTCCCCCTGACTGCCACTGCCACTAAGCATAACAATAAGCACTGAGGAAATCACATTTAATTCCTATTTTTAAACACTTGCATTTCATTGATGAATCAATACACTGAGAAAACTGTCATTTATATCTGCCACAATGCCACTAAATATTTAATTCTAAAAATTAAGCCACAGTATGAAGTGAGACCTGAGATGGAGGAAAATAATATGAATTCCTGAGGTTCAGATTCTTATCAAGTATTTCATTGATTGAGAAGTAGAGCACTTAGACTTACCTGCGATATTAAGATGGGATAATAAGTAAAATATAATTGATTTGTCAGTTTGTATTGATTCTGATAATGGATAACTGGTTTGATTACCAGATTTTTTAGAATTTTTCTACAAAAGTGTGATATATTCCTGTTGGTAATAAATTATTGCATTTAAAATAACAAGTCAAAAAATAAAATGTAAATATCAATAATGTTACTAAACTAACAATATTAAGAACTAATAATATGATTTTTCAAATATCTATTTTAATACGTCCCATGTGTGATAAGACTGTCACAAAATATATGATGGCTTAGCATACTTAGATACAGAGTCATTACGAGTTGATTTATCCCAGCTATAATAACAGAGAATGTCAACCTGTCAGAGTTTTAGTGAAGAAAAATAAGGTTTCTAATAAGCTAAGCCAAGGAGTTATTATAGAAGCTGCAAAACTACAATTTCACAAATGATAACTAACAGATTACTGTAACCTTGGAGAACTTCCATGATTCAATATCAAGATTTTCTGATTTTTAAATGTCTTGTGCGATTATATTTCATGATTAAAGACATTTGGACAATTTTTGAAGTGATAATGATTCAGATTTAACTGAATTATTGCTTCCTCCGCCAATTACAATTAACAAACTCTCATCAATGTTTTTGACACTCTCAAACATGACTGAAGTCATTAATGCTATATCCATTTTTACAAAGAATTTCGCACAATCTACATTTTGTGAAAATGCTACACTCATGAACATTTGAAACTTGATGTTTTCTAGATTTACAGTATGCCTGTAGCGAAGAACAAATGAGAATGAATACAGGAAATAATATCTGAACTTAATGGCATATTGCATACTTTAGTATTCACGCTATTGTTTCCTCAGCAATAAAGATTTATTTCATGCTGATGTTATAAATCAAGACTGATTAAATCATTAATCAATAGCTCTAGAATTTGGAGAATCAGATTTAGACCTGGGGAACTATGACTTTTGCAGCAAGAAAACACAACATGTTGCATACCACTAGCCATTGTTTGCAAACTTCTGGCATAAAAATACAACAAATTGGTTGCTCAAAAGGCCCTCTGGTATGTTTATATTTTGTTAACAAAAACAACCTTGTTGACATTTTATAACTAAAAGGGATCCAGTCATCGAGATTTCTTTCCCACCGGACAATCAGTAATGTCCCAATATAACTGCTCATATAACATCTTACATACCTGAGGTATCTTGAGACCAAATTATGGACACAGTATAACCAATATATTGAGGAAATCAACAGGACAACCAACAGAACACCAACTGTCAGAATTGAATGCAATAAGTGTAAAACAACATAAAATCGATTTTATCAATTCATCTATATTTTAAAGCCCCTGGAAGTAATAAATATGGCTTGCTAAAAGGATAAAAAATGTGTTATGGTTAAAAAAACAATGGTTGCAGCCCAGAATCGAACCCCAACCTTTGTGTCCAATAGATCACTGGAGTCAAACGCGCTATCCATTGTGCCACACAATCACTATATATCGCATCCTTCAAATTCTTTACCCATATCTTCAAATTCTTTACCCATATCAATAGTTTCTAAAAGTTATATAAGTAGGCTTTTTATTTGAAAATGATCAGTTAAATGACTGATAATTTTGAAATGAATATTTTTTCATCTCAATTTAAGAAAAACAATGTTTTATTGAGCATAGAATTTCCCATCGCGCGCCGTCTCTCTAAGCCAAATACAATCATTTGCTAAGGATATTGAGCCCAGGCAGCCAATCAGATTGGAGCAAACTGAAGTGGGTCATTTTAATTTTATTTCCAATTTCTCGACTATGAGGCCTGGAATAATGGCTGGGAACATCATGAAAACTGAGACTGTTTACAAATTAATTGAAGCCTCACCATTGGTAAGTAAATAGACAAACTTGTTCAACATCAAATAACTTGAAAATATCAAGGGGCAATTGTCCATATGAAGGGCAGTTTTCATTTGTCTAAAAATTGGCAATGGACGGATGGATATAAGGATGAACAAGAATACAAACAAGGAAAACAAACCCCAACTATCCTCAACCATGATCTAGCTTGAAAAGAAACAAGGCACAGAGGTGAACAATATCGTACCTAAAACACAGCATTGTGGTCTTGTTGACCAAGAAAGCAAGATGGCCGCAGAAAAGTTAATCAGCTCTAGAACTTATCACTGTGTAACATATGTAAAAATTTGAACGGTTTGGCTGGAAACCTGTAGACAAGCCTCGATAGACAAGATTTTAGGACGGAAAATCTAAAATGGCAACCTTAACATTTACCCAGAATGCCCAAAAACTAATCAGTTCTTGACGTTGATATGTAGAAACATCCCTGAAAATTTCAGATGAATCCCTCAAATGGATTGGCTGTAAACCTGTAGACAAGTCTTGAAAGTGAAGATTTTAGGATGGAAAATCCAAAATGGCCACCTTAAAATTTACCCAGAATGCCCAAAAACTAATCAGTTTTTGACGTTGATATGTAGAAACATCCCTGAAAATTTCAGATGAATCCCTCAAATGGTTTGGCTTGAAACCTGTAGACAAGTCTTGAAAGTGAAGATTTTAGGACGGAAAATCCAAAATGGCCGCCTTAACATTTACCCAGAATGCCCAAAAACTAATCAGTTCTTGACGTTGATATGCAGAAACATCCCTGAAAATTTCAGATGAATCCCTCAAATGGTTTGGCTGAAAACCTGTAGATAAGTCTTGAAAGTGAAGATTTTAGGACTGAAAATCCAAAATGGCCACCTTAAAATTTACCCAGAATGCCCAAAAACTAATCAGTTTTTGACGTTGATATGTAGAAACATCCCTGAAAATTTCAGATGAATCCCTCAAATGGTTTGGCTGGAAACCTGTAGACAAGTCTTGAAAGTGAAGATTTTAGGACGGAAAATCCAAAATGGCCATCTTAAGATTCACCCAGAATGCCCAAAAACTAATCAGTTAACTTTGATACGTAATAAAAAAATCCCTGAAAATTTCAGATGAATCCCTGAAATGATTTGGCTGGAAACCTGTAGACAAGCTGAAAAGTGAGACGCCGCCCGCCGCTCGCCCGCCCGTCAAGCTGACTACAATATCGTACCTCTTGTTAGGTACAATAAAAATGTCTAATTACCCACTCCCAACCATCCAAGTACCATTTTGATCCCTATTTCTCAACCCATGAATACCTTAGAGAGTTTGTCCAAACTTTGAATATACAATTACAAAAGCCAAAGCAAGTCATCTGAGACAAAGATGCCATCTGTTTGGTGAATTTTCCATGGAAAACATGGTCAATAATATTTTACTTAGCCTCTACTTACAAGTACTACTTTGATTAATAAGGAAAAGATAAGTGCTTTTGTTACGTCTTGATTACGTCATCCCTGTCTGTATTCAATACCTGATGCCTGATGCATTAATACATCAGCACATGCAATATAAATAAAACAAGTGTTACAAATGTTGGTAGATCATGATTAATTGTGAAATTCTCCTGAATAATTCATGCCATTTCTTTATTGCAAGCATACTGTATAAAGCCAAGAAGGTCATTGCTCGACTAGCAATTTTCTTAAACTTAGGATCATATGCCAAGAGTAGTATTAAGTAGTATTAAGCCAAATCTAGAAAAATCAGGATCATTTGTGCTATTGATACCACAAGGGTAATTAGTCGTAGTGGCATTTGCTGCAATGTGGTGTCCGTTGATGTCATTTGTCAAAGACCACCTGGCATTGTTTCACCTTAACAGTGTTTCATTGTTTTAAAATGCAAG